GTCGCATTAGCCAATTGGTGGCTAGAAAATCGAAGTCCAAAAGCTAATGTTTAATTTTACAGGCATAAATAGGTGAGTACAATTATGAGTACACTCACACACAGGTGAGTACACACACACCACTAAGTGAGCACACATACACACCCACAAACCTGTCTCCTGAAGTCCACATAAAAATAATAACATCGGCGGCGTATGCGAGGCTGGCTAACATCAGAACTGCCTTTATAAACTTGTGTAACAAATCGTTCAGGACCTTGTATACTACTTATGTCAGACTAATCCTGGAGTATGCAGCTCCAGCATGGAGTCTAAACCTAGTAGCAACAATGATCCTTTCCAAGCGCTGTGTACAACTTTTGTGAGATCTATTATTGAGTATGCCGCCCCGGCATGGAACACCCCTACCTAAAGAAACAAAAGAAAACTAAAAGAGGTATAAACATATGCAACAGGTTCCTGAGTTAAGGGGACTGAGCTACAAAGAAAGGCTAAAGAAATTGGCCCTTCACTACACTGGAGGGAAGAAGGAATAGAACAGACATGATAACGACGTACAAGATACAAAAGGGGGGATTGATAAAGTAGATATACATGGGAGCCGGTCGGCCGAGCGGACAGCACGCTGGACTTGTGATCCTGTGTTCCTGGGTTCGATCCCAGGCGCCGGCGAGAAACAATGGGCAGAGTTTCTTTCACCCTATGCCCCCTGTTACCTAGCAGTAAAATAGGTACCTGGGTGTTAGTCAGCTGTCACGGGCTGCTTCCTGGGGGTGGAGGCCTGGTCGAGGACCGGGCCGCGGGGACACTAAAGCCCCGAAATCATCAAGATAACCTCAAGAGACAGGCAATGTTTAAATTAGCGAACAGTAGAACGACATAATTGGAAACTGGAAACACAGATGAGTGACAGATGTCACTCATGAACGAACTAGATGAGGAAATTGGCAAAGCCAATTTGATATACCGTTTTAAATGTCAATATAATCGAATATAATTACTGTTGATACAAGGATTGTTACCGAGATGACTGTGGCCAACAGTACCCTAGCAAGCTCATCACAATCAAAACCCATCAGTATCATCACTAGCTAATTCATTACAATCAAGGCATCAATACTATCACGAGCTAGGTCATTACAATCAGGGCTAATCAGCATCATTACTATCCTACTCAACACAATCATTATGCCATGGCGCTGCAACACAATTACGACTGCTCGTCATGTCATCACGAGTAGCCGGTGGCTGAGCGGACAGAACACTGGACGCGTGATCCTGTGTTCGATCCCGGGCGCCGACGAGAAACAATGGGCAGAGTTTCTTTCATCCTGAGGTTCCTGTTACCTAGCAGTAAATAGGTACCTGGGAGTTAAGTCAGCTGTCACGGGTTGCTTCCTGGGGGGTGGAGGCCTGGTCGAGGACCGGGCCGCGGGGACACTAAGCCCCGAAATAATCTTAAGATAACCTCAAAATCACTAATCCCTCTTCTTATTAAAAGATGACTATTCTTAATTATTAAATTATGCCTATTCTCAGTTATCAAACTATGCCTATTCTCAGTTATCAAACTATGCCTATTCTCAGTTATCAAACTATGCCTATTCTCAGTTATCAAACTATGCCTATTTTCATGTATCAAACGTTATCTATTCTAAGTTATCAAACTATGCGTATACTCTATTATTAAACTAGACTAATTCTTAATTCATCAACTATATTGAACCTCCCAAGTGGAAACCACTAGACCAGGATTCACCGAGGGTCTACATGTGCTATTACGAAACCTCTACATCTTTCCTCACTCATAGCAGCTTAGTTTACACTTATTAAACAATTTATGAGCTCAGAAGCACTATCCCAGGTTGTATACAACAACAAGAACCTTGGGTTGTGAAGTACCAAAGCTCCTGAACTGTTGAACATATACAAAGACGCTTTGATCGAGTCAAGATGCACAGGTTTCGTTAAATGAATCCTGATTCTGTTCAAAAACAAGTGTCTAATACTTTCCGTCAATTAACCTTGTAGGCGGCAGCGTCCGGGGAGAGGTTCTTTGGCCTGGGTGACGCAGACGGAACTGAAATATCCAACTCTGTCAAATGCTGCTGGTGCTGCTGCTGCTGCTGCTGGTGGTGGGGCGGGCCACATCTGCTAGCTCTGGCACAGGTGTGTGCGGAGTAGTAACATTATTCACATGTATGCAGATGTTCAGTCGTTTCGGGTGTGTAAAATGACACGTGGCTCGGCGGTTTGGCTCTCCACGTGTGGCGGCGAGAACTTCGGCTTCCTTTAGTGAACCTCCCTCCACTCGTTCGAGTCCCAAACCCCCTGCAAGTGATTGTTGGTTTTCTCTCTCCAGTCACTGCGGCTATCCTGTCACTGCTGCTATCCTCCTGTCACTGCTGCTATCCTGTCACTGATGCTATCCTCCTGTCACTGATGCTATCCTCCTGTCACTGATGCTATCCTCCTGTCACTGATGCTATCCTCCTGTCACTGATGCTATCCTCCTGTCACTGCTGCTATCCTCCTGTCACTGATGCTATCCTCCTGTCACTGATGCTATCCTCCTGTCACTGATGCTATCCTCCTGTCACTGATGCTATCCTCCTGTCACTGATGCTATCCTCCTGTCACTGCTGCTATCCTCCTGTCACTGATGCTATCCTCCTGTCACTGCTGCTATCCTCCTGTCACTGATGCTATCCTCCTGTCACTGTTGCTATCCTCCTGTCACTGTTGCTATCCTCCTGTCACTGATGCTATCCTTCTGTCACTGTTGCTATCCTCCTGTCACTGATGCTATCCTCCTGTCACTGTTGCTATCCTCCTGTCACTGATGCTATCCTCCTGTCACTGTTGCTATCCTCCTGTCACTGATGCTATCCTCCTGTCACTGATGCTATCCTCCTGTCACTGCTGCTATCCTCCTGTCACTGTTGCTATCCTCCTGTCACTGATGCTATCCTCCTGTCACTGTTGCTATCCTCCTGTCACTGATGCTATCCTCCTGTCACTGATGCTATCCTCCTGTCACTGATGCTATCCTCCTGTCATTGATGCTATCCTCCTGTCACTGATGCTATCCTCCTGTCACTGATGCTATCCTCCTGTCACTGATGCTATCCTCCTGTCACTGATGCTATCCTCCTGTCACTGCAGCTATCCTCTTGTCACTGCTGCTATCATCCTGTCACTGCTGCTATCCTCCTGTCACTGCTGCTACACTCCAGTAACTGCTGCTATCCTCCTGTCACTGCTGCTATCCTCCTGTCACTGCAGCTATCCTCTTGTCACTGCAGCTATCATCCTGTCACTGCTGCTATCCTCCTGTCACTGCTGCTATCCTCCTGTCACTGCTGCTACACTCCAGTAACTGCTGCTATCCTCCTGTCACTGCTGCTATCCTCCTCTCACTGTATCCACATTCCAATCACTGCTACTATGCTCCTCTCACTGTATCCACATTCCAATCACTGCTGCTATCCTCCCGCCACTGCTGCTATCCTCCCGTCACTGCTGCTATCCTCCCGCCACTGCAGCTATCATCCTGTCACTGCTGCTACACTCCAGTAACTGCTGCTATCCTCCTGTCACTGCTGCTATCATCCTGTCACTGCAGCTATCATCCTGTCACTGCTGCTACACTCCAGTAACTGCTGCTATCCTCCTGTCACTGCTGCTATCATCCTGTCACTGCAGCTATCATCCTGTCACTGCTGCTACACTCCAGTAACTGCTGCTATCCTCCTGTCACTGCTGCTATCATCCTGTCACTGCTGCTATCCTCCTCTCACTGTATCCACATTCCAATCACTGCTACTATCCTCCTCTCACTGTATCCACATTCCAATAACTGCTGCTATCCTCCCGTCACTGCTGCTATCCTTCTTGTTGTTATTATTCACACGAAGAAATCACATTAACGTGAAATATCAAAGAGAACATCAGTAGACCGTCAGTCATCATGGCTTCAACCGATTTTATCATTTTTACTTTATCTTTATTATTATTGTTTTGATTATATGTTATCTGATAACACTGACGAGAACATTCGACTGGAGAGTGTCGATGGATTGTATGCTATCAACAGTCATAAAATACTTGTATTCATCTGACTGTATTCACCTGACTGTATTCATCCCCTTGCAGGGGTTGAGCTCTGGCTCTTTCGGCCCGCCTCTCAACTGTCAATCAACTGTTACTAACTACTAACTAATTTTTTTTCCCCCACACAGACGCCCAGGAAGCAGCCCGTAACAGCTGTCTAACTCTCAGGTACCTATTTACTGCTAAGTAACAGGGGCATCAAGGGTGAAAGAAACTCTGGCCATTTTTGTTTCTGCCATCACCGGGGATTGAACCCGGACCCTAGGATTACGAGTCCAGAGCGCTGTCCACTCAGCTATCAGGTCCCCCCTACTCAGCTATCAGCCCCCCCCCCTTATGTTTTACGTTACTGGTTCAGTACTAGAGTTGTTGATTTGTGGAACCAGTTACCGCGTAACATAATAAACGTAGGATCCCTTGATTGTTTTAAGCGTAGGTCAGACATATATATAAATAAGATTGGGTGGAAATAAACAGGGAGCTGCCTCGTATGGGCCAATAGGCCTTCTGCAGTTACCATTCATTCTTATGTTTTTCCTTATAGCACTATAGTTATAAAACTCTAATCCACAATCTTATGATTAATATGGATCTGTGTTTTGTTTTGTGTTAACGAGAGAGGTTATCTTGAGGTTATCTTGAGATGATTTCGGGGCTTTAGTGTCCCCGCGGCCCGGTCCTCGACCAGGCCTCCACCCCCAGGAAGCAGCCCGTGAGGAGCCTAACTATAGCACTGTGTTGACATTCTCGTACACCGCATATTGAAAATACGTTGTTGGAGTAATCTCAGTGAATAGAGGGCATATTCAGGTGACAGCCGATCTGTTATCTAAGTCTGATTAGATATGTTGGTGTGGTGTGATAAGAGTGAGGGCGGAGATGCCTTTCTGACAAGCCTTCACTCCACCATCCTAAACCGAGTCGTTGTGGCGCTCCAGCGGTCGTGGTGCCGCTCAACCTCCAATCTATGTGTAGCCTCGTCTGTGGTAGAAAATAAAAAAGATCTACCTCCTCGTATCTACCAGCTACCACCTCGCATCTACTACCTACCACTCCTTCTCAGACAGGCTAAAGGACACAGCTGATAGGCCCTGGACAGAGGTGTTCATCTCATCAATTCGACTGACAAAGGCAAGTATTTTCGATCCTACAGTCACGTCACAGCCCCGCTCCTGTGCCAGGTAGGTTACGGGCTCACCATAGCCCCTGCTACTTGGAACATGTTCCGAGTAGCTGAATCTATAACAACAACACCGATTCTACAGTTTCAGCCGCTCTTTTTGCCCACTGTGTAGCAGTAACGTGCTCTAGCCATGCGCCTCTCACTATGAGCAGGAATATCCATAGTACATACCTGCTATGTACTATGCTGGATACCGTACGTGTCCGGTATCCGGCCACTGGCTCCGCCATCACAAGGCCAGATATAGCACGTTAAAACGCGTATCATGAATACAGGATTAATTAGCAGAAACGCTTGCTGGACTAAGTGGTAGAGGACGGTAGCGTCGACACGGCTGCCATCTCAAGATTAACAACACTTTCCCGGTGATGGGGTGCCTGGCTTGACATCCCCCGACGTGGTAGTGGCGCTGAAGCGAATACAATCAGGTCTATCCGTAAGAAAAGCTCTAACTGGCCCACAGTTTGAGCGATCAAGCTAGAAATGGTAAACTTGAGAGTGGAGCATTCTCCACTAGCTTGAAGAGACATTGTACCTGTTGACTGCTGTCAATCTCACACATCTGTCATCTACGAGGCTGAGTGCGTGACAAGTTGACGCTGCAACATGGTGATTAAGGCCCACGTTAAGTCCCTGTCCTCAAAAACCAGTGGATATATACTTTCCGCTATCATTAAAAGTTGCGTCTCAAGAATCGCTAAGTTTACCGTGCTACAGATAGAAAATTGTGCAACATAGCGCCATGTTGCAACAGCATGATTAATGAAACAGTTGTTTGCGTGTCTGACCACCCCTCCCCCAAGGGCAGGCTCGGTAATACAATGGCCGTTCCCAGAGAGACATTCATCCAATTTTAACAACCCGTTCTCGCAATTTTAATAAGTCAATATTGACTTATTTAATATGTGCATAGGTGACATACTTAACATAATAGATACCCTTAAAAAGATTCATAGAAAACACCGACCTTACCTAACCTACTTAGTATGTTAAGATAAGCATCTTATTGCTTCGTAATTACAATTATTACCTAACCTATAATAGGTTAAGTAATAATTGTAATTACCAAGCAATAAGATGCTTATCTTAAGATACTAACAAGGTTAGGTAAGGTCGGTGTTTTCTATGAATCTTTTTAAGGGTATCTATTATGTTTAGTATATCACCTATGCACGTAGTTAATAAGTCAATATTGACTTTACGAATTTGCGAGAACGGGTTGAATTTTAAAGTATTGTGTATACAAAAATAGGTTCGTTCTCATATTTAAATTAATAGTATTATATATTACAGTTAGGTGTAAGTTAGGTTAAGTGTTTAAGCTCTTTTTGTAGATTATTTGTGTTTGAATTACGTACTTCAACGTATTTCACCCACGTACGTGAAAGCATTTACGGAGATGTGATTCGAACAAAGGTCGTCAGCAAAACAGTGCTCGAGAAATATCCGAACTTCATCAGTTGCGAATCGCGTGTAAACGGGTTTTCCATTAAAAAATAGTGGTTTGGCGGCTGGATTAACGAACAATTGGCCTGTGCTGATGAGGACGAGTTGCAGAAGAGAGAATTTCCTCAGTAAGGAGCAGATAGTTGGCCACCATCTAGAGTTCTAGAGAGACATATTGCCGCACTTTTCACATCACCGCTAGCCGCCATGACGAGACAGCAACAGGTGTCACAGCTGCTCAGCGACCACTAGTGCATGTCTGCACTATACATGTGACCGCAGCTCTTGTATGCTCCAGGTTAGATACTTATAAGTATCAGTGTGCAATTTTGATCCTGGTGCTCCGGGGTGTTTCGTTGATGTCTTCCCAGCACGACATCAACCTAAAAATCACTATGACTTCCTCAAAAACCAAGTCCCCTAATGACTGGCAAAGTCAACAATCACTATTAATATTAGAGTCCCAAATAGCTTAATAGAACAACTAAGTCCCCACCTGAACACAAATATAACGTCACTTTAAACCACATAATTGCGCGTCAATATAAAGGATAAACACTGATAACATGATAACAGATCCACAATAAATCAATAATCTCACCTTAATCTACATGAGAAGTATACAACTTTATCTTCGCTCCTCAGAAGCTCAATACAACCCCAGCGACACGTACCAGGGACCCCAGACCAGTGAGATGGACCTCTCGACCAACCCACAGGTAACCTCGGACAGTACCAACTGTGAATAATACTTCCTACTCTCTCGAAGTACACTTAATAACAACTTGAATATCACATTCTGTGGTACACACTGTACTGGAACAGTGGTACACACTGTAGCTCATGTTCATTAAATATAATATTAACAACCCAGAATAATAACTCATTAAATCGCTTCAGTAAACACACGCTGGCCAACCATCTCACACGTCTCTCAACGAACAGTTAACAGTTAGACAAGGCGCCCCCCAAACGTCAATCAACCTTGTGACATTTAATAGTTCGCGCGTAAATACGGACACGCAGTACATACACAGATAAAGTGTATACAAATATATGTATGGTCACTTCAAAAACATATTTATAAAGGGCATTGTTTGCACAATTTATCAACAAAATTAGAACACAGTATCATAATATCTGGTTTACGCTGGGTCATGACAGTATACAATTACGTGTGTTGATAAAAACTATTGATGCTAAACAGTCTTCGAAATCCCTCGTCTAGATTTATTACGGTTAACAGGACCGTAAATCCTCAATTGAATGCCACTACTCATTGCACCCGGTGATGGAGACCATTTGGGTAGAAATGAGTAGACGTAGATGCAAGGTTGACGTTCTAAGACTGCTCTACCTGCTCTCACATCTGAAAGTGTATCCTGACGGTGGGAAGAGTGCAACCTCGCAGCCTCGTAGGGCCGGGGAGCCGGTCGGCCGAGCGGACAGCACGCGGGACTTGTGATCCATTATATGGTGCAACAATGGTAATGTTGACGTGTTGCAGATGCAGCAGCAGCAGCAGCCGGAGAGGATCCGGATGGAGAGCAGTCCTTGCTGCTCTTCTTCTTCTCTCAGAGTCACCATCTACGTGCTGGGAGCTCTAAGTCTGGTAAGTCTGGTCCTGGGAGCTCTAAGTCTGGTAAGTCTGGTCCTGGGAGCTCTAAGTCTGGTAAGTCTGGTCCTGGGAGCTCTAAGTCTGGTAAGTCTGGTCCTGGGAGCTCTAAGTCTGGTAAGTCTGGTCCTGGGAGCTCTAAGTCTGGTCCTGGGAGCTCTAAGTCTGGTCCTGGGAGCTCTAAGTCTGGTCCTGGGAGCTCTAAGTCTGGTAAGTCTGGTCCTGGGAGCTCTAAGTCTGGTCCTGGGAGCTCTAAGTCTGGTCCTGGGAGCTCTAAGTCTGGTAAGTCTGGTCCTGGGAGCTCTAAGTCTGGTAAGTCTGATCCTGGGAGCTCTAAGTCTGGCTTATTCAGCCTCTCTGTTTTATTTGATCTCATTTATTCTTTATTTACGCCTCTTACTCTCTCCTTTCTCCTTATGCTCCTTGATTTATTACACTTACCTTCTCTTTACCACTCTCGCCCTCTATTTTATGGCCCTCCTCTTTCATTTTCTCTCCTCCTCTTATGCTTTGTTCATCACACAATAAATCTCAGTCAATCTCATTTAAGTCCAGGACGACGGTTCTCCGACTGGGCCCGATTTCTCACAATCAAGACTGCGATATTTTATTGAACTACACTGTGTTTAGGTAAACAATAGGTGTGTTATCATCTGATATCCCCCTCTTTATCTGCGTCATAAACAGGCACGGAGTGGCACTGCTTGTCTCACTGCCTGCCTCACTAACCTGCATTCTCGTCCTCACTCATCCTCTGTGAGGTCCTGCTAGCCTACACGGGTCCTCACAGCACACACTGGAACATTGTTTGCCGATTCGTCTGTTGTGTCATTTCGTTTTCTTTAATTTTAGAGAAGGATGGGGTCCTGGTCAAGGTGAAATCAGTTCTTAAAGATACACCTGTATGTCCCTGTGGCAGCAGGCATGAAATAAATGTACACTTGTATGATCATGGCAAATGTTCAGCACAAAAGGAATGTACTCAGAAATTGATGCACAATCTACAAATCTGAAAATGCAGGCGATGAGTCACAATAACGTGGCTAAAGTATGTTGACCAGACCACACACTAGAAGGTGAAGGGACGACGACGTTTCGGTCCGTCCTGGACCATTCTCAAGTCGATTGTGACTTGAGAATGGTCCAGGACGGACCGAAACGTCGTCGTCCCTTCACCTTCTAGTGTGTGGTCTGGTCAACATCTGAAAATGAAGTTATTAACGACGTTTCGCTCCGTTTTGGATCATTATCAAGTCGTGTAGAAATGCACAAAAGCTACGACACTTGGATAGGTGTAGCAACATTTACACATACCCCAGAACTCGAGGCAAAACAGGGAAAAATGTCAACAAACTGAGAGACAAAGTAAAATAGTTGAGAAACTCATAGCAAAACATGATTTCAAGTACAAAGATAATGAGAAGGCAGGTGGTCAAGATAGAAGCAGATAACGAAGTTCCCTACACAGTGGTCAGAACCAACCCTTCAATATTTGGTTCTTTGGAAGTAATAATAATAACGAGGCTGAAACTATCTCTCTCTTTCACACACAAAGATCCCACTAACGTGATGCATCAAATGAACAAATCCACAAGGGCAGTGACGAGGATTCGAACCTGCGTCTGGGAGCATCCCAGACAGTGTTGATTAAGGCAGTGTCTGGGATGCTCCCAGACGCAGGTTCGAATCCTCGTCACTGCCCTTGTGGATTTGTTCATTTGTTTATCTCTCTCTTTCTCTTAACTCTGTACTAACAATCCTCCGATCATACAATACCTTTGTATTGAATCTTGTTGCAAGTGCACTCTTCAACACCACAATAATTATAGAGCTTTATATGAACCATATATATAGCATATATTTCATCATATATGACCTTCATTTCTTCACAGTTGGTTTGGTGCAATTGCATTGGCTTCACTCTGGGATACGCGGCATATGCAAGTGAGTGCTCTGACCTTTAATGTTGACCAGACCACACACTAGAAGGTGAAGGGACGACGACGTTTCGGTCCGTCCTAGACCATTCACAATCGACTTGAGAATGGTCCAGGACGGACCGAAACGTCGTCGTCCCTTCACTTTCTAGTGTGTGTGGTCTAGTCAGCATATTACACCATTATACTCATATAACACTAATAATACATTCATAATGTACTCATATTACTCACATGATACTCATATAAGGTTACTATTAAGTGTTCGTAGCAGTTGTTTGCATTCACCAAGACTCATGACGAGTTGCGTGTTTCAGAATTAGAGTGAGAGTAGTGTCGTACTGTTCCTGACTCCTCATGTGATGGGAGTCTACTAACACCACACTCTCTCCTCCTCAGGTCTCATATTATATGGATCCATCATCTCCATTCCGGTCAACGTGGGTTATATCTACGTCACTTGTCGCATCATCTTCCTCATCTCCGTAAGTTGGTGATGAGACACAATGAGAGATAGTCGGTTGGGTCCGATCTTCTTGATTTCCTGATCACCTCTGGATGCTACAGTGTCTCCAGCTTGTCCATGGAAGACAGCTCACAGAGGTTATCAATGGATTAGTTAGCTATTTAGAGCAACAGCTCAAAAATTCAATTTGTCCTTTAGTCGAGGGGTCAGTTTTCAGTGTGGGGAAACTACCTACAATAGGATGTATTTTTGGTATCGTGTGTGGAATAGGTCTTGCAATCAGTCATCAATATAGGGATGATTTTGATTCAGCTTTGCTTGGTCATTGCATTTATAAGTATAATGTATGCCAGCGTCTTTTCAGGCAACCTAAAGGGACACTCAATTTGGTTTTGAGAACGAATCAGAAATCTTAACGTTAGTGATTAACAGTTAATTTATTCATTAACATAATTTTAACTGACAGTGGGATTAACTTCACTGCCAGAAGTGTAATGCAAAATCTCAACAGAGCGACTTAAAGGAGTACAGCTGAATGGTTCTAGCGAGAAAGTGGTTCTCACTTAACACTGCACAATACTTCTATAACTGCTGACTGAAGTATTCTCTTGGGAATATATAATGTATACGTAGGCAGCAGGCGTTCCTATAAGCATATTTGGTTAAATATGACGACATTGCTGACATTGTTGATCTTATAGTATAAGCTTTCTATGCTTCTAACTATTTTCTTACTCTCGGGATTAAGAAGAGCAATCAAGTTACCGACATTCATCTTAAAGAAACTAATAATTGCAGGCGATGAGTCACAATAACGTGGCTGAAGTATGTTGACCAAACCACACACTAGAAATTGAAGGGACGACGACGTTTCGGTCCGTCCTGGACCATTCACAATCGACTTGAGAATGGTCCAGGACGGACCGAAACGTCGTCGTCCCTTCAATTTCTAGTGTGTGGTCTGGTCAACAAACTAATAATTATTGAAGGGTGTATTTTCTACAATGCTTCGTTGCACTCTGGAGCTTCTTCAGGTAAGGAATGAATATACAATGTTGCTATTGTTTTAGCTTCAGCTACTCGGAACAAAAAGTTCCGGGTAGCACGGGCTATGGTGAGCCCGTAGTGGACTTACCTGGCACAGGAGCGGGGCAGGAACTGAATATGAACTCTGGAATATACAAGGTGCAAATTTATCTTAAATACACATGTGAAAGAGGTGAAGTTGTGTTGGGGGTAAGATGAAGTAATCACACATAGGTGAAGAAATAGGGAATAATGGGGATAGGTGCCAATATGGCGGATGAGAGGAGTGTTTCAGGAAGCGAAGACAGGTGTTGTGGGGTAACACTACTCCCAACTTAACACACAGGTGTTAAAACACACAGGCATCACTGCTCCCCAGAGTAACACACAGGCACCACTGCTCCCCAGGATAGCACGACAGTGACGCCAAAGTCCCCAGAGTAACACACAGGCATCACTGCTCCCCAGGATAGCACGACAGTGACGCCAAAGTCCCCAGAGTAACACACAGGCATCACTGCTCCCCAGGATAGCACGACAGTGACGCCAAAGTCCCCAGAGTAACACACAGGCATCACTGCTCCCCAGGATAGCACGACAGTGACGCCAAAGTCCCCAGAGTAACACACACAGGCACCACTGCTCCCCAGAGTAACACACAGGCACCACTGCTCCCCAGGATAGCACAACAGTGACGCCAAAGTCCCCAGAGTAACACACAGAGGCACCACTGCTCCCCAGAGTAACACACAGGCACCACTGCTCCCCAGGATAGCACGATAGTGACGCCAAAGGCGCTGGTGGACCTCCAGAGGCTCAACGCTCGCCTGGTCGCCCTCATCCTAGTGGGCTTCTCCGTCTGGGTCACTGGTGTTGTTTGGTTTGCACTGTACTACCCTGGAAACAGTTACTACAATGACGAACTGGTCTACGACGCTTTCATGACATTCTTCGCTACTAACTTTGGCTTCATATTTGCTGCCCTGGTGGTTGGATTCTCCGCGGGGCTTCAATCTCAGGTTAGTCAACTGGATTCTAGTTTTTTTCCGACAATTTGTTTGGTTTCGATGTATTTTGGGGAGTTTCTTGTTTAATACAGTATACATGTTTAGTTATAGAAAGTTTGTATATATGTGTATGCATACTCGTGTGCATGTAAGGTTTTCACCCCTAGTCATGTGTAGGTTGCGCGCATGCATGCGTGTGTGTGTGTGTGTGTGTGTGTGTGTGTGTGTGTCTGCCTCTCTCTCTCTCTCGCTTTGTCTTCTAAATCTAAACCAAATCTTCAGTGTACAGTTCATAATTACCGATGCTTCATAGCATGCTATTGCTATAGCTTTTTCTTATGAAATTAATTTAATATAAACTTCTGTGAACTAACCCAAATATAAATGGTCAAGCTGTCAACAATAAAGTGTTTCAATTTCAGTGGAAGAAGGTCTCAGCGCCGAGACCAGCAGGTCTACTCATGCACGAGAGCCCACCAAAATACTATACAGGTCAGGGACCGGCTCAGGTCCTCCTCGACCAAGGCCTTGATGCTGCACCTCCACCTCCTTGGCCATCCAACTATGTTGCCCAATACTAACCTTTCCTTCTTGTCAAGCTCAGGGCATTGCTATTGATGAAACTGAATTTGGGAACATGAACTATGATTTGCAATAATATATATATATATATATATATATATATATATATATATATATATATATATATATATATATATATATATATATATATATATGTCAGAAAAACTCTTCTTTGGGAAGGGTTCGAACCTCAGACAGCAGGGCTCTCCAAACACCTAGCATATCCAGCACCATAACCAATGGACCACAACTGACTGTACAAAAATGTTGGAAGTTATGAGACTTTTACCCAATACCCGACAGCACTCGGTGGCCAGTGGGCACAGATAATTGCCATCAAATCAATTCACTATATGATGAATAGGGAATTGTACTGTGCCCACTGAGTGCTGTCGGGTGTTGGGTAAAAGTCTCGCGACTTCCAACACTTTTGTACAGTCAATTGTGGTCCATTTCCACTGGTGGAAAGAAACATTGTAGCATTGGTATAATTTTTATCTCCTTGTGTGTGCTCTAGAGGCATTCTAACTCATCTCCCTATTTTATATGTACACCAAAGGTGTGGTAAACACATGTTTAGCTTACACTTGTATGCAAGTTCTTGCTACCAATAGCATCTTATGTACAGAAATGATTAAAAGTGTTTTCATCTTGAATTATTTTGTAATTTCTAGAATTTGAGATGATTTTAGTGTATACAAAAACACAAGCTGTAGTCTGTTTTGCAGCACTGCAAAAAAAAAACAGTTAAAAATACAATTAATTGATTAATTTAAGAGTGTAGGCGGGCTATTCGCAAAACCTGGTTGTGGCACCAGTCGGGGCCTCCAGACTTCCCTAGTGGATTCAGTAGAGTTTCACGTTGAATACGTTTTATCCTCTCGTGGCTGAGTAGGTTAAGGCAAGCGTCTGGGAGTCGTCTTGCATGGCTACAAATAATTTTCTCCTTAACATATCACACGATTGTAATTTCTATGGGATATTAATGGTATCTTATAATAATGTACTATTTTGCAACATATGCTAAAGATGAGCCAGGATAGTGCTATATAAATTCTTTTAAGAATATGGTAAATTAAATTTAGAGAGTTACCACAGCATAATACCGAGTGAAACCAATAGTCGTGGGATCGTTGAGGTGTTTCAAGCGTAGGTCAGACTTATGTATGGAATTTTTTTGATTGGGTTTAAATAGGAGATGTCTTTCATGGGCCAAACCCCCCCCCCTTTTCCATGTTCTTTTATTCCAATTTTCTTCTTAACTATCATAATTTCTTTTTCAAGAATTAACTGAATGTAGCTCTTTGATTTTTTGTTAAGTTTTATAATATAATATTTCTCTCCTTGAATCGTCTTAAAAAATGTAAACTATACATTTAAACCTGTGAACTGAATTATTGTATGAGGAAATAAATGCTTCGATTTAATAATGTTTTTCTTCTAAGTTTAAATAATTAACTTCATTGTATACTAACATATTATATATATTATATATAATTGTATACTTACATTTACACATCTGTAAGTTACAGCCCCGCTCCTGTGCCGGGTAAGTCCACTACGGGCTCACCTTAGCCCGTGCTACTTGGAACTTTTAGAAGGATGGGCTCAATGACAAGTAGAATTTAATGGTAAACTTCTTTATTGTAAACATAAGTCTTTCTTAAGCTCCAGTCACTTACAAAAATGGCGGATCTACTTTAGTTTATACCTGAATTTGAGTATGTTGAGTTCTGCATTGAATGATGAATTTTTCCAGACTTAGGAGCAGGAAGCTAAGTCCGGCGCCCAGGCTAAGCAACACAAATGCCGTGAAGACCTGAGACAGCATTAACAAAAGTATTTATTGTTAAATGTTTAATTGAATGTTAATTAAATTGTGAGGAATTGTTTTTATGTTAATGATGAGATGTGAGTATTTCCTAGGTGTCAGGCGGACTCCCGAGTGCCAAGATGGTTTCTTACCCTTCCCCACTATACCCCGAGTATGGCTCCCTTCCCTCCCCCAATATACCTCAGGTGTTGCTTATCTCCCTCCCTCAATATATATCATTTGTGTTTCTCCTACCCTCCCCAATATACCTCAGGTGTTGCTTATCTCCCTCCCTCAATATATATCATTTGTGTTTCTCCTACCCTCCTCCAATATACCTCAGGCGTTGCTTATCTCCCTCCCTCAATATATATCATTTGTGTTTCTCCTACCCTCCCCAATATACCTCAGGTGTTGCTTATCTCCCTCCCTCAATATATATCATTTGTGTTTCTCCTACCCTCCCCCAATATACCTCAGGTGTTGCTTATCTCCCTCCCTCAATATATATCATGTGTGTTTCTCCTACCCTCCCCCAATATACGTCAGGTGTTGCTTATCTCCCTCCCTCAATATATATCATTTGTGTTTCTCCTACCCTCCTCCAATATACCTCAGGCGTTGCTTATCTCCCTCCCTCAATATATATCATATGTGTTTCTCCTACCCTCCCCAATATACCTCAGGTGTTGCTTATCTCCCTCCCTCAATATATATCATTTGTATTTCTCCTACCCTCCCCAATATAACCCAAGTTGCATCAAGTGTTCCCTGGGTTCCACCCATGGTAACCACAAAACCTAGTCAACAATATCCTGCGAGAAAGCAGTCACCACACATGAAATATTTCATAACAGTAAATCTGCTGCAGTAATTAACTGTTCAAGCTTGAAGATAAACTCACGTAACGTACCTGTTGCAAGCCGAGAGCAACCACCGGCTGGCCCGGGCAGGCGTATGGTCGGGGGTACCACACATCCATCAGCTTCTTCAGCAACCCTGACTCACGGAACTTATTGATACTGCAACAGTAATGCAGTTTAATTTAGGCTGTAATAGCTAAATCCAATAGCAACCTCATATCGATTTTGAAATATTATGTCAACAGGATTTGGGATTATTGTTTTCTGTTTTAATATATAAAACATTATGCACTGATGTCTGCAAACTTTTCAAAAAAAAATCCAAGCCATCATACTTTGCCTACAAATATGTTTTCACAATGTCATGCTCCTCGTGTCCCAAAAAATAAAAGAGAAATAAAAACATAATATAAAAATCGAGTTTAAATATTATATTCTAAAATTAATTGGAGGAGGGGAGACATTGACACTCTTCCTTTGCCTCTTGACACATTGGCAGTGTGTCAAGAGGCACTCGTTCCATTTACTGCAAATTCAACCCGACCATGTTGTGTGTGTACCCGACACCAATTAGTACCAAGAATTGGGTGAGGCTAGCCTCAAGGGTCTGGCTTCCAACCTCCAGGCAGAATAAAACATTATAATTCACAGACTAAAATATACATTTACTCACTAATTTAGTTTTTGCATATGTACATATTAATGATAGACTTACAAATGATCGAAGAGCTGGAGGTAGGGGGAGCCTTGGGGCCAGCCGAGGGCGCCATCGTTGAAGAGCAGGTGCTGACGAGCGGACTTCATAGTACACGCCCCGACCGGGTCCAGTATCTGTACCTCGAAGGACCCGACGTAGGCGTAATTGTTGCTCTTCAGCGCCAGGGCTCGTAGTTCGGTGTATGTCTTCACAACTGTGTTGGAGTAGGGCTCTATGAGCGTCTCCCAGTACTCTAGGAACTTCTGACTCTGCGGAAATAACTGTGTTTGGTAATGGGGTTTAAGAGCTGTCATAAGTGGTAAGGAGGGTTATATGAAGGTCGCCATAATACCTTACTGACACACAGCAAGGATTCTCTAGTCATGAACTTATTCAGAACCTGAAGGGAACTCTCAGTGTAAACACTTCATGGTACATCTACAACCGAGAACCAGCTCTTCTTGGAGTATACAGCCCAGTTTTATAAAATAAATAGTCCATAATATATTAATAGAATAATGTTCATCCACTCTCCAGGTAATATTTCTGTGCAGTTCCTCTCTTCCAATAAAATTCTTCGGTGAGGCAATGAAAATTTTCCGAAAACTTAAAAATTCATTAAATTTTGATGCGTATTAAAAGTTTATTTTTTTATCTCGAGCAGGATTTCATTATTTCAGTAATAATATACAAATAAAAATAGCAAAATATTTAATAATATGATTAATTATAGCTTTTAAAGATGTTTAACTACAATTTTATTTTTGCATATTTTTTGATAACTGACATCAAGTCTTGCCTACCCAATGACTTGTTAGTATTAGTGATGGATTTGGCGAATGTGGCACTTTACAACTCAAACATCAATCAATATATGATATACACTGTTCTCGCAGAACTTGATATACACTGTTCTCGCAGAACTTGATATACACTGTTCTCGCAGAACTTGATATACACTGTTCTCGCAGAACTTGTTTCAGTTCTTATATGCACACTCTCGCAAAACAAATCCATTTCATGCTTTACCAACGAAATGCAAAATTGCAAAACTACCAGTACAACCTAATCACCTAACCTAATCGACCCTAGGATTAACTAACATTTAACCACCATTAATGAGGACGGATTACTTAAAAAAAGTCAGACACCCACCTTGAAGGCGATAAGTCACAATAACGTGGCTGAAGTATGTTGACCAAACCACACACTAGAAGGTGAAGGGACGACGACGTTTCGGTCCGTCCTGGACCATTCTCAAGTCGATTGTGACTTGACTTGAGAATAGTCTAGGACGGACCGAAACGTCGTCGTCCCTTCACCTTCTAGTGTGTGGTCTGGTCAACACCTACCTTGAACAACTCTTCAAGCACTGATCCCTTCTGTATACCGAGTCGAAATTTTGGAAGCTTCTTAAGGTCTTCCAGGGACTCGAACGGCAACTGATCGTTGATGACGGTGAGGAAGGACACCAGCGTGGCCGAGTACGACGCCGCCACCACCACACCAATCACGTACATCATCCAGAACAACACCCGGAGAGCTCCGGCGTCCGGGGAAGTGGGCCAGCCTGCAGGCAGGGAGGTACGGGAACACCAGATGAGCTCAGGCCGCGTCGGAGGCTCGAGCAGCCGTGTACATGACGGACCTGGGATTGTTACTTGGGCTTTGGGGGACGTCGGGGGGACCTGGGATTGTTACTTGGGCTTTGGGGGGCGTTAGGGGGACCTGGGATTGTTACTTAGGCTTTGGGGGGCGTTGGAGAGACATGGTATTTTCACTTGGGCTTTGGGCGGCGTTGGAGCTGGTCGAGGAACCATTTCAATTGTGGTTGAAGCAGGGCTGAAACTGACAGGCCAGAATGTTGGGAAATGTTGAATAACAGCTGATCGAGAGAACATAGCAGCGGTAGAATGATGACCCCATGTTGGGATGTGCGAAACATAAGCCTTTAACGCATGAGCAGCAGAAAAATTAAATTAAGTAGATGAGGAAAAACGGTAAAGTCTAACTCCATCCACACATGTAAACAAACATTTAACACGAGACATGATGGCCGGAAGTCATAGCACTGGAAAACAGACAGACGGAAAATGGACTGGAGCTTCATGGAACAGACACAAAGCGAATACACACACATACACATACACACACACACACACACACACACACACACACACACACACACACACACACACACACACACACACACACTAGAAACTTGTGTAAGGAATCTTTCAGAACATTATATACCACATATGTCAGACCAATCCTGCAGTATGCGGCACCAGCATGGAGTCCATATCTAGTCAAGCATAAGACTAAAATGGAAAAGGTTCAAAGGTTTGCCACCAGACTAGTACCCGAGCTGAGAGGTATGAGCTACGAGGAGAGACTACGGGAATTAAACCTCACTTCGTTGGAAGACAGAAGAGTTAGGGGGGACATGATCACCACATTCAAGATCCTCAAGGGAATTGACAGGGTTGATAAAGACAGGCTGTTTAACACAAGGGGCACACGCACTAGGGGACACAGGTGGAAACTGAGTGCCCAAATGAGCCACAGAGATATTAGAAAGAACTTTTTTAGTGTCAGAGTGGTTGACAAATGGAATGCATTAGGAAGTGATGTGGTGGAGGCTGACTCCATACACAGTTTCAAGTGTAGATATGATAGAGCCCAATAGGCTCAGGAACCTATACACCTGTTGATTGACAGTTGAGAGGCGGGACCAAAGAGCCAGAGCTCAACCCCCGCAAGCACAACTAGGTGAGTACACACACACACACACACACCACACACACACACACACAGCACAGGGAAAGACCAAGGAGGGGGGGAGGAGGGACCGAACAAGATTAACGAGTGAGAAAAGCCATTGGATCAACCCCAGCACACACACACCTAGGTGCGTTTACTGCTCATAAAACACCTAACGCAAACAATGTGACTTTTATGTCTACACAACCTAGGTTAGAGCAATACTGGGACCATCTGCACTTGCCTGATCGCATATCTCGCCAAACACGCGGCATCTATGCAAGTAGACAATAAATGGCATGAACAAATGCACAAGGCCGTGACGAGGATTCGAACCTACGTCCGAGAGCATCCTCTGGGATGCTCTCGGACTACGACGACTCCTCGAATCATTCGAATCCTCGTCACGGCCCTTGTAGATTTGTTCATTTGATTTACCACGCTATTGTGATTTCTGTGTGTAATAAATGGCATGTACAATGATATATGAACATGATGTATCTATGAGAAAATAATGAAGCCATACGATGGGATCGACCTCGAGTCCTTGGATCCTATTTCACGGCCTCATTATTTCCTCAATAAACGCCACCATGAAGTACCTTGTTGCGTGATGGCTGCCCACACGAGCAGTGGACACTCTCTCTTCCACTCCCGATACGTGGTGATGCTCCTCCGGAGGCCCCTGCCAGCTGCCCTGGCCAGCATAAGACAGTAGCAGTGGGAGACGGCTGCGTATACCGTAGCCAGGACCATCAGCGTCAGCACCAGGCCGACCCACAGACCCGTGGAGAAGGGGCGAGTGTAGGCCGTCCAAGAGGCAGCGGAGCCCCCGTGTGGCTGGGCGAAGATCCGGTAACTGGGCAGCCAAGGAAAGTTAAACAAGATGTTGACCAGACCACACACTAGAAAGTGAAGGGACGACGACGTTTCGGTCCGTCCTGAACCCTTCTCAAGTCGATTGTGAAGACCATTCACAATCGACTTGAGAATGGTCCAGGACGGACCGAAACGTCGTTGTCTCTTCACTTTCTATTGTGTGGTTTGGTCAGTATATTTCAGCCACGTTATTGTGACTCCTCGCCTGCTTAAGCAAGATGTTAAATGATACCGGAACATCACACACACACACACACACACACACACACACACACACACACACACACACACACACACACACACACACACACACACACACACACACACACATACACATACACATACACATACACACACACACACACACACACACACACACACACGCGCGCGCGCCTGGCATTAGGATCGAACAGGCATTAGGAGTACGCTAAATGATATAGGTGCTTTCAATACAAAATTAAGAAGGAACGTATAGATAATATTTTCGATACTTATAACTTCGTTAGTTTTTTGTATTTAACTGATAACCAAATAACTACTCTGTTCATGGAAAGCCCAGGAATCGAGTAGTAACCTGAGCTAAGGTTCAGGAAACTAGGAAACATTCTAAAAGCAGCATTGAGCTACTAATGAGCTCTGCATTTATGAGAGAAATAAATTCCTAAAAGCATGATTGAGTTAGTAATAGGATTTCAAAGCAAGGAAAAAAACATCGTGGACTGTTTTTAGCAGAACTGAGCAAGTAATAAGATTCTATTACCTGGAAGCTACGTCCCTGACGAAGGTAATGAGCTAATACCTGAACTTGAGGAGGACGGATGAGAAGTCGATGACCAGAGCCCTGCTGTAGGTCTGGGAGAGATGGGCCACCACGACGTGCGCTCTTCCGCTCAACACGTCTCCGATCATCCCTGTCCACGACCCGTTTCTGTACGACCCATACTCTCCGTCGGCAGGTGTGATCACCGTGTACCTGGAGGAGGCACAGCGCGCCCAGGCAAACACAGCAAGTAAACACAAGCGTGTTTTTACAATATGGTTATGTTGTGTGTGTTTGCTGGGCGTGTCCTGCTTACGTGTGAGACGCAAGTGGAGGAAATACGCTCGAGTGACGTCGAATCAACGTTGAATTAACATTTTCGACGTTGGTTCAAACGTTGATTCAACGTCACTTGAAGCAGAGAAGATTACAGCCCACCAAACACACGCCCCATACGAGGCTGGTCCTGTTTATGCTCACCCAATCAATTTATATTTACCCAGATCTATGAGTTGGTATTATTACTGTTAAATACGGATTCTTTATTTGTATTTGACTAAGATTACAACTAGCACAGTGTTATGTGCGCGCGTACACACACACACACATACACACACACACACACACACACTTACAAAATTTTCAGGAGAATTCACAGGGTGGACAAAGACAAACTATTACCACAGATGGAACACGAAGAATGGGACATGGGTGGAAAATTAGTACCCAAATGAGCCACAAAGACATTAAAAAGAATTTCTTCAGTGTCAGAGTAGCTAACAAATGGAATGCATTAACCAGTGATGTGGTGGAGGCAGACTCCATACATAAAATCAAATTTAGATTTGATAGAGCCCAATAGGTTCAGGAACCTGCACACTAGTTGAGAGCCAAAGCTCAACCCTCGCAAGCACTAGTGACAGGAGGTCAGAGAGCATAAACTAGCACACAACAGCGAAGACGAGTCGGTCCCCACTCACGTGAAGTTCAGTTCGGCCTTGAGGAGCTCCCAGACGTCGCCGAAGTACCCTCCGATGACTTGCCTGCCGAGGACGGGGTCGTAGTGGAGGTGGTGGGCTCTCTCATCCTGCCAGATACATACAGGAATTAAGGAAACAGCAGAAGATCTATTGGCAACTTCATTTGCAGAGCTCAAAGTACCTCATACCTGCCGATCTGAAGGGTCTAATGACATCCAGTAATTATAAGTAATTTAATATTGATAATGTAGTGTGAGAAATCATAACCCAGTTCTTGCTGGTAAAGTTTCACCTGGAGTACTCAGGACTGGGGGACTCGTCTCCTGTAGCCACCTGCCAAACTAAACTATAATTAGGTTTCAGAATAAGAATCTGGAAGAGAACCCCCGCCAAATCGTTTAACAACCAGGTACCCATTTTACTGTTTGGTGCTACACTTAAGGATAGACGCCCAGTAAATCCTCCCCAGCCAGGATACGAACCTATGACAAAGCGCTCGCGAAACGCCAGATGAGTGTCGTAACCCCTACACCACGGGGGACTTATTGTTTAAAGAAGACTTACGCTGATGGAGGTGGCGACGAAGTGGACACCAGTGAGGTCCCGCCGTCGCTCATACTTGGGTCTGTTGGATATGGTAAGCCTCCCGACTGTGGTAACTGTGTCGGGGACCTCAGTCCGGTCCGTTGGGTCGCCTCTGGCCTCGGGGTTGGCCTCCTCCTCCTCCTCTTGCTGGAACAAGCTGGCTCGCCAGCTGGCTAGATGGCCTTGGTGTAAGTCCATCCCGCGTCCTGGAGACCATATCTCGTGCAGGTGGAACTTGTCCTCTCTTGAACTCCTCACTTCCAGCACCTACATTTAGGATTAAGATGTATTGATTATTGACAATTACGAATTGACTGAATATCACGCTACAGAACTTTGAACTGTAGTTTTATGCTATTTATGACACTTCTTACAATACATTGTTTGGAATCATTCGTGTAAGAAGGAAACAAACTGCTTTATTTACTATGATTTTTTGTTATATATAAATGATGTATTTATATGGATAAATGATGTCTCGAAACTTTATTTATTTTGGTTAAGTTTATGTCTTGATTGTTCTATATCTTTAACATATATTAAATAATTCATATTTATGATATGCCCAGTAAGACTATTGCCCAGTCTTATTGGACAACAAGTAGATGTTCCGGACTTGTTTTTCCGATACAAGTGATGTTCCGGACTTGTTTTTCCGATACAAGTGATGTTCTACTTGTTGGCCAGTAGATGTCCGGGACTTAATCGCAGCAAATATCATGAATATGACAATTTTGACCAGGTTTTGCCAGTTTTATATTTCGTAAGCAATAGAGGCATTCACTCACCATGGAATCTATGGGAAGGTAGAGTTGAGGAGAGGCAGTCACCAGCGAATGTGTCAGGCCAGCCAGCAGCCACAGTTGCTTCTTCAGACCGCCCACTGCTGCCGCCTGGAACCCAAGTTCACGCTAGAAACATTTCTCCTGCATTCTTTACAAGAGTCAATTACACAGTGTAGTGGAGACATCCAGTGAATGTTATACAAGTATTAGACTGACTTGATCACCCTGCAAATAGAAAATAAATGTGTTTACATGTGGTCAGTTTTGAGGGTTTCTTAATCTTGAAACCAAGTCCCGGACTTTTCCTGGCGATTGCTTGTTTGGAGAGGTAATTTGTGTTTGGGAAGAGGTAGTTGTGCCGGCTCACACCACACCTACTACCCCCCCAGCTGACAAAGGACAATGCACTACAAGATTACCGTTAACACTTCATGCTACATGGAATATATCCTTAAAATATCTGATAATTTTTATCAACTTTTTCTCTACCTCCGAAGGTGCTGAAGAGAGCCTCGACGAAGCGTGTGATTTAGTGACATGCATCAAGCTCAATAACATGTTAAAATGAATTTTAACGAGCTAATTTTACAGCTTCCTTCCAAAGTGAAGAGCAAAATATATATATATATATATATATATATATATATATATATATATATATATATATATATATATATATATATATATATATATATATATATATATATATATATATATATATATATATATATATATATATATATATATATATATATATATATATATATTATATATATATATTATATATATATATATATATATATATATATATATATATATATATATATATATATATATATATATATATATATATATATATATATATATATATATATATATATATATATATATATATAGATTGATTTAACCTTTGTCATATTCAAACACACACACACACACACACACAATACATACTGTATATGAAATCCCATATTATTGTGAGGGTCTGTAATATCGCAATATTATATTACTTGCTGGTCTGTAATATCGTAATATTCCATATACTGACATTCATGAGATATTGTGTGATATCATTTATTATTCAGTGTGAAGGGTAAGAAAAATCACATCTGCTCCATACCACAACTGTTTCTCAGAATATATGTAATTTTTTTATGTACTGTGTTACATAAAATTTACTGTAACATATAGATACAAGAAGGAGTACACAACAGTGCCATGGATTGTCTGCTTCTCCTCCTCACCCTACCTCCCCCCCCCTTCTTCTCCCCCCCCACTCTCCCCCTCTTCCCATAACCCACATTTTCTCTCTTCTCTCCCACCTCCCCTCTCACCCCTCCTTACTACCTCCTCCTACCCCGTCTTGCCTCCAGCCTCGAGCAGACAGACATATACACAATATATAATGTTTCAAGTTGTTGATTAAATATCAATAACTTTATTCCTAAAAATGTAAGTTGATTAGGATTGTTATCCACTCGTTTAGTCCAGCCATTTTTTAAATTATTTGAATAAGTTGTTATCGATTAAGATAACACGAAGACATAGTTATTATCATTCTAATAATGACAATGTTTACGTGTTATGCTGTTATTGTGACTTATGTAAGTAATGTACTGTACTTTTATATGTAAAGTTCCCAATTATATATGAAACTACCATTTATGAATAAACTATATTTTTATTGATATGACTTCATTTTAAATATGCTCAAATATAAAGTTACCTGTTTTCTTTGAGAACGAGCTGGGGGCTTGAGGAAGCTTTTGAAGACGTGATAGGATAGTCTTTTTTATGCTACTGTGGCCAAAGTATGAATAGCATAAAATTCATGTTAATTTCCGGAAATAAGTGAATAATTGTATATATTATAAGAAAAACATTGTTCTGGAACTTTTGCTTTCAAAATATTTAACTAGTGTGTAGCTGGCAGGCAGTGCGAAAATTCATTGTGGGGGATTAGAATGTGACTGGCACACTGTTCGCTCTTGAGTCTGGTGATCCTAACAAGCCTATGTCCGTCCCGTACCGCAGACGATTCTCCCTACAAAGTTGAGTGAGACTGGCCCCAAGCGTCTGGCTTCCAACCTTGGACAGAGAAACATTCTCTGAAACAGATTGTCAACAATCCCAGCCCACAATGACATTTGAGAGTTGATGAAAATAAATTTTCAACGTGTGTTATGTGGTGACAGAACTTCACAAGGGGGAATATCACCACTCTGGCAATGGTCACCTAGAATCCAGTAAATAATATGGAATGACACATAATGATTCAATGGCAAAAATAGTTTTATTTTTGTACACATAAAGGATCTATAAATATGTAACCGAAAGACTAGGCTACACGCCATGGTTAAATTCTGGGAATTCTATATTTTGCATGATTCAGGCTTCAAGAGAGGTCACCACAGGCAAGTATATCACACATGAATATACACTATACTTTGTCACTAGGTCTCAAACCAAGAAAAGCATGCAGACGAGGAGTTAAAATAACGTGGCTGAAATATGTTGACCAAACCCCACACTAGAAAGTGAAGGGACGACGACGTTTCGGTCCGTCCTGGACCATTCTCAAGTCGATTGTGAAGAGGAAAGGAGGCGAAGACAATAAATAAGCAAGAGAGAGGTGAGAAGAAGAAAATCTTAGAGGAAGAAAAATCATATTTTTTCACTGCCTTAACCTCCGTATACAACCAATTTTGTATAAACACAAGAGCACGGTTTACAAACACTAAGAGGCAATGGGCCTATTTTCAATTATTATCTCTTAATGAGAGTGGGGCAGGTAAGCCTGTCTTTCCGGGGAACAGGTGTGTGCTGCCGCTTGATATAATTTTGTTACATTATTTTGTCAGGTAACTTGGATCAGTGATGCGTATAATGGCGTGACAGATCTACAAGATACAGTCAATTCTACTTAGGGTAGAATTAAGCTTTTGATGCGCCAGAACTACTGACTGCTTGTATGTATTGAAGAAAGACTTAGCCACCACTACTGGGTCAAGATATTTATTTTGTATTCTAGTCACGTGAATGAGGTTACTCTGTCACATCTTCCTGAGTGGTATAGACAATAGTGTGACGGTGTCACACCTTCCCTTCCCCGTCTCCCCCTGTCTTCATACACTACTCTTCCCTATCTCTCTCTCCACACACATACCTCACCAGATAAGAGACGGGGACCAAAGAGCCAGAGCTCACCTGCAAGCACAACTAGGTAAGCATAACTAGACAAGTACACCTATCCATCTCCTTTCCACACCCACTCCCTACCTCCCTAGACCCAAGCACCTAGCCTCTAACCCCCAACAAGCAGACATACATTTTATAGATATAATACAGATATGCAAATCATCGAAATACCAACACAGCTAATTAACACAACAAATACTCACGCATGGAAAATAAAGTAGTATGAAACATACACACTAATCACACAAATGACAATCATACAGCACCCATACGCTGTCTTAATGTTCTAGTGTAAATACAGAGATATCCATACTGAACGGAAACATGCAGCTAATTAGGAGATGTGTTTCAACAACCTAGGAATCCATTGGTTGATGTAGATCCCCGTCCCCTTAGTATATGGGAAATGTAATGGGAAAAAAACTCACTTTGGACAGGATGTATTCGGTTGAGTTAAGTTCACAGAGAACCAAAGTGAGACCTTGCTTGCGTGGGGCGAGATTGGAGGCCCGGGTAGCGGCGAAGGAGCAGGGACTGATGTCCCACATGATCCCAGAGCTCTGGGACAGCCATGGGACTATTATCCCTGCAAAGGTGAAATTGCAATTTTAATAACTATAATGAGAAAACATTTGGAGCAGGGCATTGGGATTGAACTCTCGTCTTTAGTCACCCATAATTTACACGTAATAATTTGGATTGGTTATCAGTTCGATGCCTGCAAACTCCTTTCAAGTTCTGGTGGATTTGAAGTTCTATTGCTTTTAAGCACATCGTGGTCCAGTGGGTAAGGAGCGGGTCTCAGGTGACCCAAGACGCGATGTTTGGTTCCAAACCTCCTTGCTCCCAAGATATTATCATAGATATTTCACGCTTCTGTCATTGTATTGCGTAATAATTGTAAAAGTAATTGTTGCATTTAAACAATGACCAAACAAAAAGATGACACTGTTGTCTTGGCGTAACTTTTGCTGCATATAAGTTCATTGTTATGTTAGATTATATTGATCTTATCCTTTGTCTTATTCAAAAATATATGTCTACGAGAAAGACTTGTTAGTAAATGTATTAATATAGAGGGGTGGAAGAGAAAGAGGCAGGAATGGGCAGAAAAGAGGAGGTTGGGGAAGAGGGTGAAGAGTGAATAAGGGAAAAGGGGTGAAGGGGAAAGATAATGTATACTCTAAAATAATTCATTATGAGACAAAGGCGCCAGCCATGTTGTGACCCTAGACTACTAATCCCCATGGGATGCGACCTTGTGCTTGGGTCAAGTCAAACTACCACTTCACTCTTAACTTTTATACAAAGGCGTATCCCACTACCTCCCACACAATTATTCATTTTAAAACAGCTTCAGTTGTTACTCCACAACAGCAACATGTTCACTGTATTAGTAATTACGTTGTTATTGAAGCCAGTTAACTTTAATTTACTTGAGAAACGATACTTGTTTTCACTACAATTTCTCATCTTATATAAAAAAATTCCTCATATAGAAATATATAAGGTCTCGTATATGGTAATGATAAGAGATTACCCCGTCATTATAAGACATTATATATTGTACGTAAAGCACCATAAAAGGTATTTTATATGGTGATATAAAAGTCAGCAGTAGCCACAATAGCGGCGGGAGGCGAAGGAGTAGCCCCCTGTTGAATAATTTCTTCCCCAGTCTCTTGTTCAGCGTTCATTAGTTGATAATGGTCCATCCTCTCGTCTACTGTGTTCTTCACCAGTCACTTGTAATCGATCGTTTGAGGGGTTCGTACTTCCTTGTTTAGTTTTACTCCGGATCCCTTCAACTTTGAATTATAAATAGTTCGCATGTCTTCATCTGTCTATGTTTATAAGAGAGAATGTGTCTATGCAAAGTTGGAGGCCAGATGTTCGGGGGTAGTCTCACACAACTTTACACGGAAATGGTCTGGGGTACAGGACTGGCATGTTGGCTATCTTGAGGTTATCTTGAGATGATATAGGGGCTTTTTAGTTTCCCCGCGGCCCGGTCCTCGACCAGGCCTCCACCCCTAGGAAGCAGCCCGGGACAGCTGACTAACACCCAGGTACCTATTTTACTGCTAGGTAACAATTTACTTGACGCTGGTCGGGGTCGCCAAAAACCAAGAGATAATAGAAAGCCAGGGGGGTCACATGCTGTATCCCATGATGATTGTTTTGCACTGCAAGCTGCTACACCTAGCTACATATTTTAAAAACAAAAATTTAAAAAATTATGCAATATACATTATTTACTAAGCTCTGAAAAATTAACATACGTTTTCTGCTATTCATACTTTGGCCATAGTACCATAAAACATCTAACTTCAACTTAGCTCGTATGTCTCCTCGTGACAGGGAAAGACCGAGGGCCGACCCACAAATTCGAAGCTATAGGGAAACTATTATATTCTTTGTACACGTAATTAACTATAAAGTCATACTGGCATTATTATAGGAGAGAAAGAGGGATACAGAGGGGGGGCAGATACCCCCACAGTTCACCATACAGAGCTCGTATGCATCCATCTGAACACCGTAGACAGTTCGCATTTCCTCGTTAACGAATATGACACACAGAATTCGCATTTATCTATGAACTGTGGGGGGCAGATACCCCCACAGTTCACCATACAGAGCTCGTATGCATCCATCTGAACACCGTAGACAGTTCGCATTTCCTCGTTAACGAATGTGACACACAGAATTCGCATTTATCTATGCACCGTAAAGAGGTCCTATTTTCGTTCATCTATAGACCGTAGATAGTTCATATACTTCCTCGATCACCTGCACCTCGTACTCGGTGCCACGGTGCATGAATCCGCAATGTGGATACGTCAATGAGCAACCTTCCTGGAAAACATGTCGTGGAGTACTGTAAAATTTAAATCACTCATGATAGCATGATAACGATGCACTTGGAGGCGTTCACAGGGCCTTCGCATAACGCTAACGACGTGGTTCCTGACCCCCCCGGCATGTCGTTAACGACCTGGACCTGTGTTCCGACGGGAAGCTAACGACTTGGTTCTCGGCTCTGGCAAAGGGTTAACTCCTGATTTCTTGCCCCGGTTTGACACTATAACTACCTCGTTCTCGCCCCGACAGGGTGCTAACGACCTGCTCCCGCCTCTAGCAGGACGATAACGACCTGCTAACAACTTAAGTAAACTTTCAGTGTATACAGTATATACAATGAGAAGTATGGCATACCTTTCAGTGTATGTATCTCCTGGTGTCCAAAAGATGTATTTATAAATTGTACTGTACTACTGAACCAAAATTATCTTAATGTACATTATAATAGTGTGTATAATAATATACTTAGATATGCTTTTATATGTGTGTGTATATCACGAAAATAAACACGTGATTAAAAATGTGACAGTGTCAGACCACGGAGGAAAATTGAGACAGGAATTTCCTTAAGTACTTTCGTATATTAATACATCTTCAGAAGGAGTGGCAGAAGGAATGTTCTTATATGTATATTCCAATCGCAAAACCAATCATGTGTGTGTACTCACCCAGATGGTCATTGGTGTATATGGTCAGGAACGTGAGACCAAAGGCGTCGAGAACATCCAGCGTCAGTAAGCACAAGTTGTGGTAAAGTTTTCTCTCGTTTAGAATTGCGTTGACTTGCGTCTCTTGACTGACTCTACTGCGGACCCCTCGGCCACCTTCGCCTGCTGATGCGTTAAAGGCGATGGCATCCATAAAGAACTTCCCATCTATTATAGTTTGCGGTGTTAATGGCTTCTCTGAACCGTCTTCTGCCAATCGATTCCCGTCTTGCCCAGCACAGTTCCTTGTGGTTAGTGTTTCTGTCTTACCATTGTGTCCACACACTTGAGACACGTATAGGGTAAGCAACATCTTCCTTAAACCAACCATTGTGCGATATATGGAACCTCACCGGATGCTGTTCTTCGTAGGCCGTGGGAATCTTCTGAAGGGTAACTGAAATAAAAACTAGAGAATACATTAACAATTATATAGATTTAAACTAAATCAACAATACATGACTATGAACAAAATACTATATATTCTATATATAGTATTATATATATATATATATATATATATAGTATTATATATATATATATATATATATATAGTATTATATATTTGTTTGCCTTTCCATTGGAGACTTTCGGCGCCGTGGAGGAAAGGGGACCTGCTGCATTGGTGACAGCTTCTCCCCCGTATCAACCTACCCTGGCTTTGCGCCCTGGAGAGGCCACTCCAGACCGACAAGCAGAGCTCAACTCCATAGTCTCCTGAGACTGATGGATGCCTACTATATATTTATTCGTAAAAAAACCCTGAGGGTAGGTTGCTGGCAATACTGTATGAGTATTTGTCAACGAGAACCATAACTTGAGAAGCGGTGGGTTCTCAAGTGTTAATGTTGAGGAGTTAAGTACAGAATAGTGGTATAACCAGTCATCCTACAAAGGACGTCGCATTTCACTCGTATGCGTTACATACGGCCAAAAAATCGTCGTACTAGAAAATGGAAGCGGCTGGCGAAAGTGATGTACTGTCCCGTTTTCTGTTTTGGGTCCTCTGGTAGGTTAGGGGAGACTACTTTAAGTTGACCATTTTCTTGACGTTGGGAAACCTTACGAGGACGGGCTGAGAGGTGCCGGTCCTCAGTGTTTACTTATCAATGGTAACCTATCATTACGCAGGAGGAGGAAGGTGGTCGAGATCCAGCTCTCCCGCCCCAAGTTTTGTGTCCCAGATACATTTTAATTCTCTTAGTGCTTGAGTTCTGTGCCTTTGACATTTGAGATCCGCAACCCAAAGAAAATCACAGACGCACCAGATAGTACCAATGTCCTATTATATCACATACCCATTAAGGGCACTATTAGGTAGTACTAATGCCCCATTATAACACTCCATTAGTCACAGTTTTCAATAACATACAAGGCAACTGTCATTTTTTAACAAGGCAAAAGATGACATGCATTGGAAAACGACATGATGCTTACTGTTGTATGTGGAAGGAGATGACTCAGTGAAATCTTCCAACGTTGCTAGTTGGAAGTTGGTGTTGGAGTTGGTGTCAGGGCTGGGATAGTGGGAGGGCTGGGATAGTGACTGGGCTGGGATGGGGAGTGGGCTGGGATGGCGAGTGGGCCGGGATGATGATACCAGAGTGTGGGGAAGGGATGTAGGCGCCCCAAACGGTTCCACGCGGCCTGGCGAGTCCTGACCAGGGAGTTGAAGCGGTACACTGACCCAGAGAGGCCACTGGCCGTGCTGGCCCACACGCACCTCAATCTACGCACCTCCCTCCTCACCTGTCCTCCCTCTCCTCAGACCCACCAGCTGCCCTGTCTTCTCACATCCACCAGCTGCCCTTCCCTCAGACCCACCAGCTGCCCTTCCCTCACATCCACCAGCTGCCCTTCCCTCACATCCACCAGCTGTCCTTCCCTCACACTAAACACCGCAGCTGGACAAGCCTTCTAAAGACCAATGAAATAACCCCGCACCAAGGCCTAAATACCTTTACTTTTAAGCTTTAAACACGTGAGTAGCGAGGAGCGTCAAGCTTTTTGTTGTTGAGGAAGCTCGAGCAGTCAGGTACATGATGGTCCTATTGACTTCTATATGATACAGGTCAGTATTTGGGAGACATTAGTCACTGTAATGAACAGGTCCGCGTTCGAAGCTTCCTCAACCAAAATAACTTTATTCATTTCATTCACCTTAGACAACATATGATTTTATACATGTAAATATATGATTTTATACGGAAGATATATATATACTTATATATATAGTACATACACGTATATATATGTAATATTTCTTTAGCAATCGCACAGTAAATTTGGTTTAAGTTATTTAAGAAATTCTTAAGTATAAAACCACATTAGCTGACATTTAGATATAGAAATATATTTTTTACATATTTATATCTTCAATATCTCTATTTTGTAATTTTGTCTTTATTTTATATTTTTTCTCCTTTTCTACATATGCGAATGACCTATGTAAAAAAAAGATCTTGGTCTTTTCTTGTCGCATTTTTATATCTTTTTACGTTTTTTTTATTCTTTTCTGCTTTTTTAGTGTCTTTTAAGGTCTTGTGTTTTTTATATTTTATTTTGTTTATTATTTTTTAAAGATTAGAGGGATTTGAAGTGAACCATCAAACAGGTTCTCACGCTGTGACAAGCGTACTGTGTGTGTGCGGGGTTCTCAGTATGAACCTAATATTAACCCCCGTAACCTCTCGACCCAGACTCTCACTTGGTCAGGACAACAAATTCAATTTTAATATATATTTCACGAAAGCCATCAATTTGTTGATTTCTTTGAGACGCTGCAGTCCAGGGAGGTGTGAGGGAGTCACCTTCATGCCAGGGAAGACGAATCACAAGGGCTGGAATACTGTGGATATATATATGGATTTCTGTTCCCATTGGGTGCTCCGAGGTCATTAATTAACCACCTGTTTATGAATGAAAAACGGCTTACGCACGACTGCAACCCGTCTTGAGGCCAAGTCCATTCCATCCAGCGGTCGACCCCAAAGACGCATTCATCAATTTTTAACATTCTGGTCATTCAAAAGAGAATTTTTCTTAAATATATATTAATATTATTATAGATTATCATATTGCTCATATTTAGGCACTGGTTAGGTTAGGTGTTTGGGTTCTGTTGGCGATTATTTGTATTTGTAGTACGTGGGTGAAGCATTTATAGCGTTGTGGTTCGAACAGAGGACGTCAGCGAAACACTGTTCGAGAAATGATCGAACGTCATCAGCTGTCAGTCATGCAGCCCGTCCTCCATACAAAGACCCAAAAGTGATTCCATGGACCCACCAAACCCCGTGTTTTTGAATGAAAAACGGTTTACACACGACTCACAACTGATGATGTTCGAAAACTTCCGGAACAAATGCTTCACTGACGAATTTTGTTCGAACCACAACGCCGTAAATGCTTCACCCACGTACTACAAATACAAATAATCGCCAACAGAACCTAAACACCTAACCTAACCTGCGCCTAACTTTACATAGAAATTTTATATATAATAATATTAACCTATATGTGAGAACAAACCAATGTTGAATGCACAGAATAGTTAAATTGATGAATGCGTCTGGGGGGAGGAGGATCCCCGCCGCGCTGACGGCTACTGGACGCCAATCCTCGACTCTGTGCCCGTGTTCACCCAGCAGTAATTGGCTACCTGGTTGTTAAGCAAGACCTTTCTTCACGCAGTCAGGAATGACACAACTCTTCTAACCACTAAACTGTCGTTCAGGGCAGTATTCTTAGCCCAGTTCTTTGCCATATTCATCAACGATTTACCAAAGAACCCTTCCCCCTCCTTCCACTCTTCACAATACTAAATATAGCAACCAGAAAAAGCCTTCCCATTATCTACTATTGGTTTCGTAAAGTATGAGAGACAATGCATCAACCAAGCCTAGACTCAAGGCCTCATATAAACAAATATATTCTTAACACAGTGGTTAGAGAACGCCCGGATTGAGTTCTCGCAGCAGAACGGAAACATTTAGGCACGTTTCCTTTCCCCCCTGATACCCCTGCTTACCTTGGCAGTAAATAGGTACCCGGGTGTTAGGCAACTGTTGTGGGTGGCATCCTGGAGACGGTCAGTAGTGGGAACTCGATAACCGGATTCATGTTCCCTTCTAAGACAAACAATGGAACCCCCCCCCCTTAAATATAATAATGGTTCCCTGCTTGTATGTACTACCGCGAGCGTCAGAGTCTTAACAATCCCGCCACTAATGAGCGACCTCGTCGTTGGAAGACAGTCTGGTGAGTGCATATTGGTCGTTTCGATAGCCCGTTAACACTTCACAACGACAGAGAGCTTCAATCACCCGAACCACAGCGACAGAGAGCTTCAATGACCCGAACCACAGCGACAGAGAGCTTCAGTCACCCGAACCACAGCGACAGAGAGCTTCAATGACCCGAACCACAGCGACAGAGCTTCAGTCACCCGAACCACAGCGACACAGAGCTTCAGTCACCCGAACCACAGCGACACAGAGCTTCAATGACCCGAACCACAGCGACACAGAGCTTCAGTCACCCGAACCACAGCGACACAGAGCTTCAATGACCCGAACCACAGCGACACAGACCTTCAGTCACCCGAACCACAGCGACACAGAGCTTCAATGACCCGAACCACAGCGACACAGAGCTCCAGTCACCCGAACCACAGCGACACAGAGCTCCAGTCACCCGAACCCCGACATTTTTCATGCACATCTTTGAAGCAGAGGTTAAAAAAAAAAACATAATTACAAGGATGAACAGTTGTGAGGAAGTTATTGAATCATGCATCGCCAGTTCGAACCCCGTGTGGGAGTTGTCAGGTGATTCCACTTCCCAATCAATAAGGAAAGGAATAAAGAAAAGCCAGAGAATTAAACGACGAGTCTATAAGAACTAATGATTCATCGACTGGTCGCACCCACCTGCTTTCTTGCCTGCCTGCCTGTCTGTCTGTCTGTCTGTCTGTCTGTCTGTCTGTCTGTCTGTCTGTCTGTCTGTCTGTCTGTCTGTCTGTCTGTCTGTCTGTCTAGCCTACTTCTCCCTCTTACTGTCGGCAAAATTTATAAAAACAACAGTTAATCCTCCAGAGAGTAAGGTCCGCCGGCCCTGAATACCTGGAAAAGCGGTAAATGGTTTTACTGTATTTTTTTCTAATATCCCCACATCGAATGTTGTGGCAGGTGTTGTGACAGGTGTGTGTTGTGGCAGGTGTTTGCTGTGGCAGGTGTGTGTTTCCTGTACTGTAGCGTGCATATCGGTGTACGCTGCTGTAGTGTGTTTGGCGGTACACGAGAGTACTTGGTTCACTGCACCCAATACATGATTTACGATTTGATTTTATATTGTTGTGTTTTGATAGTATACAAATATCAAGTGTTCCGGCAGATCTTACTGATACGTGTAGCATGGGTATGTCCTGTCACAAGAGCCGTGCAGAGCGGACCTTATATGGGAGGGGCATTATACCTTATATGCTACAGTGGCAAGACCGCTTGGAGACCACTTAAACGGACGGGTGGTGGACAGTGAAAATGATGCTCAAAACCCCACTTAAACGGACAGTAGCATACGCAGAGTTACGTTCCGACTTTACATAGAATAGTTTGCTGCGTCGTGTGTTAGATCTGACTAGTATGAATGTATGTCCCCAAAACAATCCTAACTGCTAGACCTGCTATACATATATCAATGAAATATCACTAAACAAAAGGGTTCAACATAGATATAGAACTCAAAATTACTCCTGAAGAGATAAACGGAGAAAATGGTGTTGGATTTGAATCTTCTTATATAATTGGAAACCTAAATACAAATTATATAACGTGTATACGAATATAATTGGTCTTTGCATGAATAAGCATATGTGCACTCCATTAAACACATGTGTACGTCATTAAATACATGTGTACTTCATTTAAACACTTGTACTTCATAACATATGTGTATTTCATTAAACACAAACATTAAACACTCAATTAATCACATGCATACTTCTTTATTGAGTATAACACATATTTTCCGATTGCAGTGAACATTCACAATGAAATCACAAGAATGCGAGGAAGTCTATGAGTAAATATTGAAGCTGTGTAAAGGGATCAAACTCTCGTCCCTGGACTTATACAATACATCTTTCCTGAGGTATATTCCACTCATGTTGTATAAAAGAGAAATAATATAAGAAGAATTTATTTATTGACATATATGCAGCATTGCTACACACACTATACCTTATTTATAAGACGATTACAGGCTACAACATACATTTTAAACACTACAATATCCTCCTATACTAGAATTATTAAATAACTAATGGTGGTATAAAACTTTTAACAATTTCTGTACAGAAAAAAAATACTGGGTTAACAAGAATTTATACATTTACACTTAATGCCCAGACTGTATTGTTTCTGGAGTATTGTCTCAGTAAAACTTCATGCCCTGATCCCATTATTGTGTCTGGTATATGATCTTAGTTAAACATTTACACGTCAAGCTCAGACCCAACTGTGTCTGGTATATGATCTTAGTAAAATATTTACACGTCAAGCTCAGACCCAACTGTGTCTGGTATATGATCTTAGTAAAATATTTACACGTCAAGCTCAGACCCAACTGTGTCTGGTATATGATCTTAGTAAAATATTTACACGTCAAGCTCAGACCCAACTGTGTCTGGTATATGATCTTAGTAAAATATTTACACGTCAAGCTCAGATCCAACTGTATCTGGTATATGAATTCGGTAAAACATTTACTGGTGTGATGGTTTGAGTAATACTCAATACATTTTTATGTTAATTTACATTTACATTTATTACATAAATACACGTGATAATTTGATATAAGAGTACTGTATATTTTGTGATGCAATTTTGAGAGTATGTTTAATGCAATTTAGAGTATAAGTTTGGTGCAATTTAGAGTGATGTTTGGTGCAATTTAGAGTATAAGTTTGGTACAATTTAGAGTGTATGTTTGGTGCAATTTAGAGTGTATGTTTGATGCAATTTAGAATGAATGTTTAATGAAGATGGAACTTCATTATGGGATGGAGCCGAGTACGTTAATTCTTTCTGGAGCTGACAGAAAACTACACAATGATCATAGAGAAATTTTGTATGGTTTTTCTATGGAAATAAACATACAATTTAAGTTGCTCAGCATGGACATAGTTCATAAATAATCTATGGTTTATTATTCTGGATTATTTCAGTTTTTTGTTCTTTCCTGTTCAACATTCTGTAAACAAAATTTCCTAAGTATATTGAATCTGTATAATATTACATGTACGAACTATTGTATTGGCAAAGATAGTTTCTCAGATTTCTTCTTTCCCATTGTAAAATTTAATGAAACATGCATGACAACTAGGTCTTATTTAAATATCCAAAGTTAAATCTACTTTAGAGCATATATTAAGTTTGTATTAAATATTGGACGAGTAAAATGGGTGGAATTTAGGTACCAAGGCTGTTAATGCAGAATCATAATGATTCAGTTATAAAATTATAAAGTAAGGTGATTAGCATTAATCAGCCTATAGGACAGGAGTTTAAATGAAGTACAAAATCAATGTACAATACATTTAAAGTTTTGGAACGTTGCTTATTTAGAAAGATGCAAATGTTACATACTGTATGACATTCATAACTTGCAAAAGTATATTTTCAAGACGTGTATTAAGGTTTGTAATAATGGATGGTTTGGAGTTGTATGAAATACAAATCTTTAGAAAATTTATGGTAGGCCTAAGTATGACATTACAAATACAATACTTGTATGGTTATATTCTGCTGATAATTACACCACTGTACATCTTCACTGTGTTCATAATTACCTTATCTTGCACAGTTATTTTACTTTTAAAACTGTTATTTTGGAAGACAACAGCAATGTTTATACAGTATTGCTAGGCATCGTGAGAAGTCATTAAAAACTTAAAAAACAATGAAATTATAGTATGATGTTGATTGTAACCTATTCTTTATAATGAATTTTCTGATTTTAGCTACAAATGTATAATGCATTGTACAATTGTCATCCACACTTCCGTGGAGATAAACATTGTATTCACCTGGGCTCTGGGAGACTCGAACCCTGGACCCCACACGTGTGAGGCTGAAGCTCTATCGACCGTGCTATTAAGTGATCTTAATAAGGAAAGTTTTTGACTGTCCCCGATTACTTCTGAAGCTCAGAGGAGTTAGTGATCCACGTCATATACTTATTGGGGACCCCACTCACATGTGTGGGGTCCACGATTCGAGTCTCCTAGAGCCCGGGTGAATGGAATATAATGTATTTCATATTTAAAAATTATGAACACTTTACTGGCAATGCAATGATTAGATCTTAAAACCTTTCTTATAAATTGTAAATGGTCAAAATCTGGCAACCAAAGTGCAAGGATAAAACTTGTACACACAGAAATCACAATAGCGTGATGGATCAAATAAAGCCTCGTCACGATGTTCGTCATGTTTGAACCCTCGTCACGGCCCTTGTGGATTTGTTCATAAAACTTGTATAATACTTTCTGTATGTGAACCGTCATTGTAACAGTGTTCAAGAATATGCACTAATTCTGAGTATTTAAATAACGAATTCTTTTAAGTGTTAACATATATATACTGAATCATGCATTTGTGGTTGACTTTGTACAAAATGACATATCACAGAAATTGGTCCAGAAAGCACTAATTTGATATGAAGATAATTTACCTGAATTTACCTGAGGCCCACCAATACTCCAGTGGCCTCGATGGGAACAGGAAGCCAGTGGCTTGTCAAAAATCACCCAACTATTCAATGTAAATTCATATAAAAATATGGCTGCCACATTACGCACGTCAAATGGCAAACATATCCATGCATAAATATACTACAAAGAACTTAAATTGAATACAATACACTTTTTGCAATATCATCTACATGATTAAAATAATTTTTTTTACAAGTTATATAAACATCACAAAAATACCAGATTTTCATTATATCACCAAATTGGAAGGTTAAAATAATTTAAATTTTTTTTTTTGAGAACTCCAGATTGTTTACATACTATTAAATATTCCACAGAACATGCAATGTACCTTTTTTGATAACAAATCTCACTGAAAGCTTCTTAATTTGTAATTTTATTTTTTTTATAAAAATCATTAATAAAGTTCTTAGGTTCTATCAATTTATTTACAAGAAGGTACAAAGCATAATACAATGAAGTAGGAATCTGGATTTGGGTTGATAGTGGTGTAAAATTATTAAACAATCAGAACAAATACACAGCACAAGAATCATAAAAAATTTTGTCTGATGTCAGTTGAATTTTTTTTGAAGTAGGGACAAAATGCTTTGTATAAAAGTTAAATAATACGGTCCTAGGTAATGACAAATTAAAAATAACCTCAATTATTCATTATATCACTAACATTTATTCCATTTTAAAAAGCTGGGTAGTAGATATACAATGCAGAATTTTATTAGCTAATTTAGCTATGAACGAACTAGAATTAATTTCCTAAACTGATAACTAGATCTATTGTCATATTCATCCTAATTTTCATAGCTTAGAATTACAGTTTCTTTGCACTTATCAATGACTATCATTGCTATCCCAGTGGAGCAGTGATTAATATAACATTCAGATAGATTCTTTACTTTCAGAAGCATTTTAAGTTATTCAAAAAATCGAAACTATTATAAAATTAAATAGTTTTAACCAAAACATCTCGCAAAAGACACATATTATATTTGTTCACACAAAATAAATTTTCTGTGAAAATATACCATTAGTATGCAATTCATAGTTTATATGTTGTATACTATATGTCTATGTAAAGAGTTGCAAGATACTGGATCTTGGCTCCTATACAAGTCTGCTTAATGCATAGCGTTTATATTGCAAAGATAATTATAAAGTTTTCTTTTAACACCGGCATCCAGTTCTGTTGTCAGAAGTTACCCTGCCTTCTACAGAGATTTTGTCATTGTCCATAGATTCTGTCATCATCATACCCTGCTTCTCGTTACTAAGTATCTGCAAATAAACCCATTTTTTTGTAATAATAGGTAAAACAAATTAAGTTATATTTTAATAATAGATTAAATACAAAAATAATTTATCTTAATAGAGAAGTAAATAATTTGTTTGTAGAAACATGAATAATAAATTGCATAGAAATGCAGGAAATGAAATGAGAGAAACAGGAATAAATTACATTTCTGCTGAAGAAATAAGTAATTCTCCAGTAGTAAATTGTTGAAAAATGTGAGTCGATCACCAATAGAGGGGGTCAATGCAACACTTGTATGAACACTTGAGTGTGCATGCAAAATGTTTTATGTTGCACTGGTAAGCCACACGACATGTTGATAGTATAACGATATAAATAATATTTAGTACATGCTATATGTGAGATTCTCCTTCCAACTATTGTGCAGGAATTTTTTTATACAGCACTCCAATGATTTTTATTTTTATTATAATAAACTAGTTGGGGTACCCAGCTGTGCCCAGGTCTCTCTCTCCCCTCTAAAAATATGGCACTTGGGCTAACCTCGACTGGCCTTACACTCACGTACTCCCATGTATCATCTTGGAAAGTTAGATGAGGCTGTCCCAAAGTATCTGGCTTCCAATTTTGCCCCCCAAAATTCATAAAAGCATTAAACCATAGTAGATAACCTACTTTGTTGACAAGAAACCGAGAAGCCTCATCAATATTGATGTTTTCCTTGGCAGACGTCTCAAACCAACCACTGAAGCCTCGTTCACGGCAATAGTCGTCCATCCGAGCTGGGTTGTTCACGACGCCTTCCTTCGGCTGGTCACACTGTCAGTAAATTTACATTATTAGTTTATTTCTGTTGTGTTATATACTCTTTAATAACCTTTTTGGAAAAATTGTATGAGATCCAGAATACAAAATTTTGCACATACGAACGTGAAAATAGTATATGCATTGTAAAATGGAAAAAAATTGACAAATATTTTCAAATTCCAGCTAAAGCCCGGTGTATGTGAAAGTGAAAAAGGATCATTGCAAAGCGACAAAATCATCTCACACCTGAATCAGTTGTCATGCCAGGAAAGGCTGATAAATTCAATAAAAACAACTTTGCAAACCAGACATGACAGAGCTGATCTCACCGAGACCTTTACAATACTGAACACATTAATATCAGCAACCTTTGGAAATCACGTTTCTCTGAACCCTTAAACACCAATGTACAATTATTATGTCATCAGATAATAATAGCGAGAGAAATATAAAATCAAATCATAGGTATTATATCTGAAAGCCAATTCTCATAAGATTCTATACGGAAAAGCTTTAACGTTGTATGGTGTTTTGGTCTCAGAACAGCCCGTCCTCCTAAGGTTTCCCAACGTCAAGAAAATGGTAAAGTGTTCTCTCCTAACCTACCAGAGGACCCAAAACAGAAAACGGGACAGTATGTCACTTTCACGAGCTGCTGCCATCTTTAAGTACGACAGTTTTTGGCCTTATGTAACGCCTACGATCGAAATACGACGTTCTTTGTAAGAGGACAGACTGCTTAGAAAACCCCCTCATATGTCAATTTCCATAGGCCGTTGTCTAATGTTTGAATGAGAAAACCACATACATATGTATGTTACCTCCTACATTCGTAGGGAGCCGGTCGGCCGAGCGGACAGCACGCTGGACTTGTGATCCTGTGGTTCTGGGTTCGATCCCAGGCGCCGGCGAGAAACAATGGAAAGCGTTTCTTTCACCCTGTGCCCCTGCTACCTAGCAGTAAAATAGGTACCTGGGTGTTAGTCAGCTGTCACGGGCTGCTTCCTGGGAGTGGAGGCCTGGTCGAGGACCGGGCCGCGGGGACACTAAAAAGCCCCGAAATCATCTCAAGATAACCTCAAGATATATACATTTATGCAATATTTTGATCTCTCCGAACACTTTATCACCATCATCATAGCTTTTTAAATACCTTCTCCTAAAAGTTACGAGGCCTTGTAACTTCCCTACAATGCAACTCAATCAATAATAATGGATTAACACAGTTGCAAACCTTGTTAGCCAGAAGCACTGTAGGAATGGGCGACCCATCAGCCAGGGTAACCTTGGTGTCGAGGTCTGTCTTCCATTTGGCCACAGCATCGAAGGTTTGGGCCCGTGTCACGTCGAACACCACAAAGGCTCCAACTGCTTCTTTATAGTACACTCTCGTCATATTTCCAAATCTCTCTTGACCTGAAGAACAAAATGTTTTACGCTGGGATAAAATGGTTAAATTGTATTCTTATAAGATGTGGAGAGTACAGTAACTCGCGTCATAAAATGAGGTCTAAGGTAATGGGTAAAGAGGAGGAGGATCTAAGCGCTTTCCCCAGATAGGGAGGGTAGGTAAGCAAAAGGCAAGCTTGGTACGCATAACCATTGTAAATCTTAAGCACAGAAGGAAGATATTTAGAAATGCATAAAACCTAAATAAAAGTATGTTGAAGTAACGAGCAAAAGTGTGCGTTTATCTTCAGGAAGAATATCTATGATATCTGCAGGCGATGAGTCACAATAACGTGGCTGAAGTATGTTGACCAGACCACACACTAGAAGTTGAAGGGACGACGACGTTTCGGTCCGCCCTGGACCATTCTCAAGTCGATTGTGAATCACTTCAACTTCTAGTGTGTGGTCTGGTCAACATCTATGATATCTTTCACTCTACTATAGCAGCTTTCTTGAATATTAGAGTCACATTCTAACGCGATAAACACATACAACATTTATATCAACATTTCCTCCTGAAACTGCTCCACGATATATTCCTCTAAATCACTTCTCCCTAACAGGGTAAAGTTAAAAAAATCATTTATTTCTAAACAGTTTACATCAAATGCTCTAAAATGGTCTCTCACCTGCGATATCCCAGAGCTGAAGACGAATGACAGTGTTGCTATCCCAATTTAGAACCTTAAGTGCAAAGTCCACACCGATGGTGGCTCTGTAGTGCTGACTGAAGAACTGGTGAACATACCGCTTGATGATTGAGGTCTTGCCAGTACCAAGTTCTCCAATCACCAAGATCTTGTATAGATGTTCACGCTTGTCTGCGCTCGACGTGGCCTGCAGTCACAATAATATTATCAGTATCACGATGCAGGCGAGGAGTCACAATAACCTGGCTGAAATATGTTGGCCAAACCACACGCTAGAAAGTGAAGGGACGACGACGTTTCGGTCCGTCCTGGACCATTCTCAAGTCGACCGAAACGTCGTCGTCCCTTCACTTTCTAGTGTGTGGTTTGGTTAACAGCATCAAGATAATTGTTGTTGTTTATGTGGATTTAAAGACGTCATTCATCTGTTGTAACGCACGGGGGGGGGGGGGGCCTGGTAGCCTGGTGGATAGCGTGCAGGACTCGTAATTCTGTGGCGCGGGTTCGATTCCCGCACCAGGCAGAAACAAATGGGCAAAGTTTCTTTCACCCTGAATGCCCCTGTTACCTAGCAGTAAATAGGTACCTGAAAGTTAGTCAGCTATCACGGGCTGCTTCCTTGGGTGTGTGTGTGGTGTGGAGAAAAAAAGTAGTTAGTAAACAGTTGATTGACAGTTGAAAGGCGGGGCGAAAGATCAAAGCTCAACCCCCGCAAACACAACTAGGTAAATACCACTAGGTGAATACGGTGTACTCAAAAAATATATTTTCCTTATATATAATTGAATACTATTATACATTAGAATTTTGCGTATAGTAAGACATCTGCTAGGTTAGCTTAGTCTACCATAAGTTAGGCTAGGCGTAGGTTAGGTTAGGTTAGGTTAGGTTAGGTTAGGTATTCAGATTGTGTTGTCAGTTACTATGTTTTGTAGAATTTGTAGTACACGAGGGAGACAATTACGGAGGTGTGATAGGAACAGAAGGCGTGTGTGAAGCAGTGTTCGAAAACAGCTTGAACATGCAGGCGATGAGTCACAATAACGTGGCTGAAGTATGTTGACCAGACCACACACTAGAAATTGAAGGGACGACGACGTTTCGGTCCGTCCTGGACCATTCTCAAGTCGATTGTGAATGGTCAATCGACTTGAGAATGGTCCAGGACGGACCGAAACGTCGTCGTCCCTTCAATTTCTAGTGTGTGGTCTGGTCAGCTTGAACATCATCCCTTGTGAATCGTAAAATTAAACTTGTTGGTGTTATAGCTTTCCATAAACATAGTGCCTTGCTTAGATCTTATACCTTATACCCTTGGATGCTATGGGAACATACCCATACGCCTGAGGGGTATAAGAACATACCCAATGCCCCTGGAGGGAATGAAAACAAACCTAATGCCCTTGTAGGGTGAAAGAACATCTCTCATGCCCCTAGGGGCTATACACCCAAGCCCCTGGAGGGTATAAAAACATGCTTCATGCCAATGGAGGTTATAGGAGTATACCCATGCTCCTATAGGGAATAAAAACATGTCTCATGCCCCTGGAGGCTATGGGAACATACCACAAGTCCCTAGGGGCTAAATGAATATATCCCATACCCCATGGAGGGTATGAGAACTGTATGCTGAATCTCTTGTTTACACTTAACATTGCTAATAGCTTTTTACCCTTAACATTGCTAATAGCTTTTTACCCTTAACATTGCTAATAGCTTTTTACCCTTAACATTGCTAATAGCTTTTTACCCTTAACATTGCTAATAGCTTGTTTACACTTAACATTGTTAATAGCTTGTAAACACTTAACATTGATGTATCTCTTGTTTACACGTTGCTTTATCTCTTGTTTACACGTTGCTTTATCTCTTGTTTACACGTTGCTTTATCTCTTGTTTACACTTTGCTGTATCTCTTGTTTACACTTTGCTGTATCTCTTGTTTACACGTTGCTGTATCTCTTGTTTACACTTTGCTGTATCTCTTGTTTACACTTTGCTGTATCTCTTGTTTACACGTTGCTGTATGTCTTGTTTACACTTTGCTGTATCTCTTGTTTACACTTAACATTGCTAATAGCTTGTTTACACGTTGCTGTATCTCTTGTTTACACTTAACATTGCTAATAGCTTGTTTACACGTTGCTGTATCTCTTGTTTACACTTAACATTGCTAATAGCTTGTTTACACTTTGCTGTATCTCTTGTTTACACGTTGCTGTATGTCTTGTTTACACTTGACACTGCTGTATTTGTGGTGGAGGATGATAGGAAAAGAATATTAATATAGCAGTGGGAAATAGTTTCAAGGTATTCTATAAGGAGAGAGGCAAGACCAGGAAGGAGATTAGATCCCACAGCGACTCCGAAAGATCGACATAAAAATTTACCATCGAAAGAGAAGGAGTTAACACAGAGTCCAGTGAGATCGAGGAAGACAGCAGATGGAAGCGGGAGATGAAGAAGGCTCTCAGTCGCCTTCTGATTAAGAGAATTTGTAAACAGAGAATCAACAAACAGGAGGACTGGAGGTGCAATCTGTCGATGGAGTCTTGAGAGTGGCGAAGGAGGGCAAGGAAAAGTACCAAGATAAGGAGTGAGAGTTTTGGCACGCCAAGAGGCAAGAGGATAGCCAACAGAGGCTCTTGAAGACATAACAGGTCGAAGAGGAGCACCAGGCTTGTATGATTTAGATAGACCATAGATATAAGGAAGAAAAGGGGGGCAAAATGACACGGGGGAATGCTTAGCGAGATCAAAGTCTGGAGGATGGAGACTAGAGTTTACAGTTAATGGAGATTTTTAAGGGTAAAAGTTATTTTCTGGGAAAAGTTGGTGGGTATATGAGTAATGTCGGGGTTAGTGGGAGTGTGGGGGTTTGGGGGAGGGGGATGATGGGGAGATTTGTTTACTAAACTACCCACCCTCTTTATCACAGACTTTAATTTTGCTAACTTCCGCCATTGTGTCAACACATATTACCACACATAACAAACACTATTCACCATTCCCAACAACCACCAATACCACCATCACAACCCACAACAACTACCGTCACCACTCATAACAATCCCCTTCATAACTCACAGTTACAATCACCACCCACAACTAGTCACCAAACACTACTCTGCATGCGAACACCTTACATTGTGTAGCTACGAACGTACGACAAGCAGAACTAACAAGTAAGCAGGTTGCCATGTCCACAACGGTAAACAAAAGCAGCTACAAGCATAATAATATCCACCATCTGCCGAGGCGCAGATATCATCTGGCGCTTACGGCACTAGATACGGAAGGGGAGCAGTAGCAGCGGGCAGATACGTCACCTCAGGTGAGGCGCACAGCTATACGCCGTACGTGGCAAAATCACCATCAGAAACCCTACCCAAGAGCCGCTGGTGTGCCCTGACGACTCCATCAGAGGGTTGTGTTCGCTGCGTGACCGGTCACCTTCGGCGGTTATCCATGGCTCACCACCATGGCCCTCAGGGCCTGATGGGGGAGTAGGCGTGCCAGGGGCCACCACCACCGGTTCAATTGTCGACAACGCATCCACACTAACACCCTCTGACGTCTTTTCCATGCGTTTGGCTTCCTTTTCCTGCGGCATGACGGTGGGTGGCGTGGGTGGAGGCGAGGTGTCGCCGCCACGCTCGGAAACTGGCGGCTGGTTGTCTAACTGGGATGTAATGGTCTCACTGGAAAGACGTTTAGTAAGGACGGGACTGGAGGATTTCGATCTAATAGGCGAATTGGAGATGGTGCTTGTATCAAGCGGTTTCTCCGTCACATGAGAGGGGGAGACGAGTGGGGTGGTGGCCGTGTAAGGGGATCCCAGAGACCTCGGGTACCTGTCATTGAAATCAGGGGACGGGGAATCAATTGCTTTTGGGGATTCTTTTTCATCGGGGACGACATTAACTGCCGTTCTCTCTCCAGAAGTTACCTTAGTTGGTGATGGTTTGTCATTAGGTGGCGCCGCAGACTCCGTTTTTTCTACTGCAGACGATGTTTCTTCTGCAGACACAATCTGGTCACCTGCCACATCAACACCGGGATTGGATTTATCTTCAGCAGTTGGCTCTTGTGCAAGTATTTCCGCATTTGCCGTCCAGTTCTTGAAAAACTGGACGTTGGAAATGAAGGAGCGGAAAGAAGGGTCCATGGAGTCTGTTGAGGCGGCGTCGTCGGGGTTGGTTACATCAGCCTCTGTGGTTAAGGGGTCGTTATCATCTTTCACTGTACCCTCCATCACCTCCGCCTTTCTCTCTGGTGAAGCAGACGTTGCGACCACATCCGTGCTGACGAGCGACGCATCAGTGGCGAGAGAAGACGTTGCCGACGCATTGCTTACAATAGAAATTTTCGATCCAGACTCAGATTTTTGTTTCTTGTCCTTACGAGCGAGAAAACTTCCAAATTTGCTCTTTTCCTTCTTCCTTTCTTCCTTTTCATCTCCTTTCTTAGCATCATCTTCGATTTTAGAACTCTTGTTAGACACTGGAGAAGGTGTCTTGCTGCTGTCCGCTGATCCTTTCGGAGATGAAGAGCCATTGAGTCGTTCGTGAGTCGCCGGGCGGGTGTCCTGTTTTTCTCCACCTTCCTCAGGCTGCTCTGTCTCCTTATCTGCCTGAATAGCGCCGCTTTTTACAAGAGCTGGGCTATTTGGAGCGCTGGGTTCAGACTCTAAGTAAAATTCTTGCTCCGTGTCGCTGGCCACTCCTGTACCTGGGGAACTAAGTCCACCTTCCAATGGCTTCTTTTGTTGTCGCAATTTTCGGCCTGTCTTACGGCCTTTCCGGAAAGTAGACATGAGCCCCTTTTTCTTCTTGTCGGCATCTTCCACTAGTTTGGGAGAGGAAGGTCCATCTACGGCACTCATACTTACACTATTTACTGCTTCCTTTCCTAGTTGAGACAAGCGTAACGATAGGCGGTTGCGTCTTGCTACCACGCTAGCGGCGTCTTGTGGTAAGGCCTCAGGTTGACGAGACCCAGCGTGGGAGAGGTCAGGGCAACTTGTGTATTCCCACGACTCGTAGTCCCTTTCCTCAATAGAGGCGCGAAAACTGCCAGGATGTATGTATAGACTATTGTGGCGTTCTAATGGGCTCGTGTAGCCTTTTGTCTCATTAGGAATATCGATGCTTAACGATGACCATTTGGAAGCTCGAGGAGTGACGATTGACTGGGCAGAGTCAAAGAGAGTATTTTCACTATGAAACACAGAATTCACAAGGGACGAAACACTGTCATTGCGGAGAGTCGTGCCGAAGGACTGCACTGAATAAAATGAACCAGTATCACTGTCCAACGTTACAGCAGTATCAGATTCGTCTTCGGAATCGAGCACACTGTCGCTGAAGCTTTTCTGAGATGTGACAGAGGGTTCAGTACGTAGACTGTGGTCAGTGGGGGACTTTCTCGCCTCCTTCAGGCTGTTGCTAAACGGTTCGACGTTGTGTGGCTCTGCAGGCACCGCCTCCAGAGACTCCTGACTAAGGTGGTGTGCTCGAGCAGTTACCAGCCAGGCATCAGCACCAACACTGGACGCTCCAACGGTGGAAGGTTCTTCGGTTATGTCGCTAAGAATGGAGCTCATCACTTCCCCCCGTCAGTGACACTCACTAGTGACCTGAGCCTGACGCGCGTGCTGCGACACCATTCCTGCCCAACACTCTTATGGGAGCAGGTCAGGGGGCCCCGCCAAGAGCCCTGACCCCCACACTGTGATTATAAATCATTGTACACACCACTGATACCAATCCCCGGAGCCGCGACACGCACAAACGCCAGCAAGCCAATCATAGGTCACGTAGCATGACAATAGTTCTGCTGGTTCACTTCACAAGCTCATTGTGACCTTCGCCCTGGCCGTCTGGAGGCTGGGCGTGTGTTCACGAAGGACGTTCTGATAATTAGAAGCCAAGAAGTGCCAAGAAGACGAGGCTGGAGACGGAGTAAGCGGGAGAGAGGATGACCCTACACGTACGTCAGGTGGGCGCTGCTCGAGTGAGGGCGGGACGGAGGTGTGGCCGGGGGGGTGTGGCCGGGGGGGTGTGGCCAGGCTTCCTTACCCCCCACTCAGGCACACGCGCGCAAGCACACACACACACACACACACACACACACACACACACACACACACACACACACACACACACACACACACACACACACACACACACACACACCTGTCTCCTGAAGTCCATATCAAAAGAATAACATCGACGCCGTATGCGAGGCTGGCTAACTTCAAAACTGCCTTCAGGAACCTGTGTAAGGAATCCTTCAGAACCTTGTATACCACATATGTAAGACCAATCCTGGAGTATGCGGCCCTAGCATGGAGCCCGTATCTTGTCAAGCACAAGAAGCTGGTAAAAGTTCAGAGGTATGCCACTAGGCTAGTCCCAGAACTAAGAGACATGAGTTACGAGGAAAGGCTGCGTGAAATGCCCTTCACGTCGCTGAAAGACAAGAGAGCTCGGGGAGACATGATCACTACCTACAAAATTCTCAAAGGAATTGACAGAGTAAATAAAGACAAATTGTTTAACACGGGTGGTACGCGAACAAGGGGACACAGGTGGAAACTGAGTACCCACATGAACCACAGGGACGTTAGAAAGAATCTTTTCAGTGTCAGAGTAGTTAACGGATGGAATGCATTAGGCAGTGATGTGGTGGAGCTGACTCCATACACAGTTTCAAATGTAGATATAATAGAGCCCAGTAGGCTCAGGAACTTGTACACCTGTTGATTGACAGTTGAAAGGCGGGACCAACGAGCCAGAGCTCAACCCCTCCCCATCCCTCCCCACCCGTGCTCAAATAACATACGCATACAGTCTCGCGGTTGAATGGATAGCGCTTGGGAGGTCTTAGTTTTTTCACTTAATGGGTCTGTTCACCTAGCGCAAATAGGCACCTGGGGACGTAGACACCTACTGCGCACTCCATCCTGGAAAAGTGTGACTGTACTCACCTAGTTGTACTCACCTAGTTGTGTCTGCAGGATCCAGCATTGACTCTTGGATCCCGCCTTTCGAGCATCGGTTGTTTACAGCAATGACTCCTGTCCCATTTCCCTATCATACCTGGTTTTAAAATTATGAATAGTATTTGCTTTGTATTTGTGTGTGTGTGTGTGTGTGTGTGTGTGTGTGTGTGTGTGTGTGTGTGTGTGTGTGTGTGTGTGTGTGTGTGTGTGTGTGTGTGTGTGTGTGTGTGCGCGTGTGTGTGTGTACTTGTGCTTGAGTGCAGGGAGGATTAACTCTAGGGAACTGACTCTTCACTTTAAGATATCTAGAGCCGTCTCCATATATCTCTGCCTCTCCGTTTTCTATAGCTCTTTCGTATCTATTTTAAAAGCTGTGGACTAAACCAGACTCATATTAGCATTATTTACAACTAGTACACAAGAGAAGTATTGCTTTATACATGTTACTAATATGAGTTTGCTGTTAAGTTTCCTGTAGTCCGACTTGTCATCTTCCTGCTGCAACACTGTCCAATATATCTCAGTATCTCTTACGTCGTAGTCATGTCTCATCTGGATCTTCTTTCCTCCATTCAAACTAATGATTTCTTATAGATTGTCCTAGCACTTTAGGTCTCGTACTTACAACCTCAGCTTTGTGGCAGATATTTGAATCTTCTTGTGTTTCACTCTGACTGTGTTGAGTGCCAGTGTTGCTTTGTCATGGGCCGCGTTTAGTGTGTTCCAAGATTCTTTGTTTAAGTTGCTTATGACTGTTTTCCTTTTCTTTGGAGATGTTTAATATTTTTATTATTCTCAACTCCTTCCATTTTTTTCTTTTCAGATATTAGTCTGTCGTAAAATTCCAGTAGTGTGTTAGGCCCGCTTCTCCTGTGTGAATCAGTGTTATGAGTCATTATGAGTCAAGTGCTCAGTTATGAGTCATTTTGGTCTCCAGGTGATGCACCACGCAATGTCTGATTATTTTCTATTATACCGTGTAGGGGGGGACTTGTAACACATCACCTCATTCCCGTCTCTGGCTTTCCCTTCCACGTGTCTTCGAAGGTTTCTTGTTGTTTAGGTTCTGTTGTCTATAATGTGAGTGACTTGCATAGTGTTCCCGTTCTTATAGTAACCTTGGATATGTATGAGCTAGATCCACTGACTCTGTAATTAGATTAACACTAAAAGACTTGCATATACCCCCCTTTTACACCACAATGTTATGTAGTCTGTCCAATGGTATTACTCCTTCTAGATATTTTACCTCGTCCTTAAACAGACGCATATTACAACGCTCTATCAAAGATCACATTTACGTACATCCTTCAAACTAATGCAGAACCACCAACTCTTCCTTCACCTCATCCATCTTTGTATATAAGTCAAACCATCTAATATGTATCGACAGGAGAGACATCTCCCGTCACGCAGGGTGCAGTCGCACCTCCACAGATCTCCAGTATCATCTATTGATACCGGTAATGGCTCAAAAAGGGCCACCACTTACGGGCTATTCATGCCCGTGCCACCTTTTGGGTGGCTTAATCTTCATCAATCAATCAATATGTATCGAGTTACAGCCCCGCTCCTGTGCAAGGTAAGTCCCCTACGGGCTCGCCATAGCCAGTGCTACTTGGAAAACTTCTTGTTCCCAGTGGCTGAATCTTAAACAGCAACATCTGTAGGAGTTGAGGGGAACTTCTGACTTGGCCGAGTTAGCAAGGTTCGAACCATCTGATTATTCAAAAGTTTCTTTACCCTTTTTTTCTCAATATCTTCGCTTTAATTTAACAAAAATGATCAGGATATTGATGTATTTGAATGATTAATTAAACTGTTATTTAATGTTTGCCGAGTTTTACATAACTAAGGCAGTACTGAGGTTAGGTGACGCTCTTAAATCAGTGTTGGTTTAAAATATACTAAATGCGTGTAACAATAATCGAATGTATCAGTATGTAAGAAAAATTAACGATAAAAAACATTAAAGGAATTTGGCTTATTGCCAACTCTGTGAAAAAAAAACACGACAAATTGCGTTAGATGAAATAGTCTGTGAGAGATATTTATAAAAACTTACGTATAACAAAAGTCAAACCCAAATTCAGAAACACAAAATATTTAGTTTTGTGCTGAGTTTCTGAAGCACTGAGAGGAGGCCGAGGAGTGCTTGGGGGTAAATGGTACACTGAGCGCTGCCAGCCCACTAAGCCAAACACTGACAAAGTGTTTACAAAACTGAATGGTGTGTGTGTTTGTGTGTGTGTGTGCGCGTGTGTGTGTGTGTGTGTGTACTCACCTAGTTGTACTCACCTAGTTGTGTTTGCGGGGGTTGAGCTCTGGCTCTTTGGTCCCGCCTCTCAACCGTCAATCAACAGGTGTACAGATTCCTGAGCCTATCGGGCTCTGTCATATCTACACTTGAAACTGTGTATGGAGTGAGCCTCCACCACATCACCCCCTAATGCATTCCATTTGTCAACCACTCTGACACTAAAAAAGTTCTTTCTAATATCTCTGTGGCTCATTTGGGCACTCAGTTTCCACCTGTGTCCCCTTGTGCGTGTTCCCCTTGTGTTAAATTGACTGTCTTTATCTACCCTATCAATCCCCTTCAGAATCTTGAATGTGGTGATCATGTCCCCCCTAACTCTTCTGTCTTCCAGCGAAGTGAGGTTTAATTCCCGTAGTCTCTCCTCGTAGCTCATACCTCTCAGCTCGGGTACTAGTCTGGTGGCAAACCTTTGAACCTTTTCCAGTTTAGTCTTATCCTTGACTAGATATGGACTCCATGCTGGGGCTGCATACTCCAGGATTGGCCTGACATATGTGGTATACAAAGTTCTGAATGATTCTTTACACAAGTTTCTGAATGCCGTTCGTATGTTGGCCAGCCTGGCATATGCCGCTGATGTTATCCGCTTGATATGTGCTGCAGGAGACAGGTCTGGCGTGATATCAACCCCCAAGTCTTTTTCCTTCTCTGACTCCTGAAGAATTTCCTCTCCCAGATGATACCTTGTATCTGGCCTCCTGCTCCCTACACCTATCTTCATTACATTACATTTGGTTGGGTTAAACTCTAACAACCATTTGTTCGACCATTCCTTCAGCTTGTCTAGGTCTTCTTGAAGCCTCAAACAGTCCTCTTCTGTTTTAATCCTTCTCATAATTTTAGCATCGTCCGCAAACATTGAGAGAAATGAATCGATACCCTCCGGGAGATCATTTACATATATCAGAAACAAGATAGGACCGAGTACAGAGCCCTGTGGGACTCCACTGGTGACTTCACGCCAATCGGAGGTCTCACCCCTCACCGTAACTCTCTGCTTCCTATTGCTTAGATACTCCCTTATCCACTGGAGCACCTTACCAGCTACACCTGCCTGTCTCTCCAGCTTATGTACCAGCCTCTTATGCGGTACTGTGTCAAAGGCTTTCCGACAATCCAAGAAAATGCAGTCCGCCCAGCCCTCTCTTTCTTGCTTAATCTGTGTCACCTGATCGTAGAATTCTATCAAGCCTGTAAGGCAAGATTTACCCTCCCTGAATCCATGTTGGCGATTTGTCACGAAGTCCCTTCTCTCCAGATGTGTTACCAGGTTTTTTCTCACGATCTTCTCCATCACCTTGCATGGTATACAAGTCAAGGACACTGGCCTGTAGTTCAGTGCCTCTTGTCTGTCGCCCTTTTTGTATATTGGGACCACATTCGCCGTCTTCCATATTTCTGGTAGGTCTCCCGTCTCTAGTGATTTACTATACACTGTGTGTGTGTGTGTGTGTGTGTGTGTGTGTGTGTGTGTGTGTGTGTGTGTGTGTGTGTGTGTGTGTGTGTGTGTGTGTGTGTGTGTGTGTGTGCGCGAGCTGCCAGCCCGACTCTCCCACACGCTCCTCACACCACACATTCATCCTTTCTTTAAGATTTCTTCCTACAAAAGAAGGCGCTTAATAGTCTAAAGCAACACGGCCAGCAACCCTGCCAGCAACACGGCCAGCAACCCTGCCAGCAACCCTGCCAGCAACCCTGCCAGCAACACGGCCAGCAACCCTGGTAGCAACACGGCCAGCAACCCTGCCAGCAACACGGCCAGCAACCCTGGTAGCAACACGGCCAGCAACACGGCCAGCAACCCTGGTAGCAACACGGCCAGCAACCCTGGTAGCAACACGGCCAGCAACCCTGGTAGAAACACGGCCAGCAACCCTGGTAGCAAGACGGCCAGCAACCCTGGTAGCAACACGGCCAGCAAGACGGCCAGCAACCCTGGTAGCAACACGGCCAGCAACCCTGGTAGCAAGACGGCCAGCAACCCTGGTAGCAACACGGCCAGCAACACGGCCAGCAACACTGCCAGCAACCCTGGTAGCAACACGGCCAGCAACACGGCCAGCAACACGGCCAGCAACACTGCCAGCAACACGGCCAGCAACACGGCCAGCAACACGGCCAGCAACCCTGCCAGCAACACGGCCAGCAACCCTGCCAGCAACACGGCCAGCAACCCTGGTAGCAACACGGCCAGCAACCCTGGTAGCAACACGGCCAGCAACCCTGCCAGCAACACTGCCAGCAACACGGCCAGCAACACGGCCAGCAACACTGCCAGCAACACGGCCAGCAACACTGCCAGCAACACGGCCAGCAACACTGCCAGCAACACGGCCAGCAACACGGCCAGCAACACGGCCAGCAACACGGCCAGCAACACTGCCAGCAACACGGCCAGCAACACGGCCAGCAACACGGCCAGCAACCCTGGTAGCAACACGGCCAGCAACCCTGGTAGCAACACGGCCAGCAACACTGCCAGCAACCCTGGTAGCAACACGGCCAGCAACACGGCCAGCAACACGGCCAGCAACACTGCCAGCAACACGGCCAGCAACACTGCCAGCAACACGGCCAGCAACACGCCAGCAACACGACCAGCAACACTGCCAGCAACCCTGCCAGCAACACGGCCAGCAACACGGCCAGCAACACTGCCAGCAACCCTGGTAGCAACACGGCCAGCAACCCTGGTAGCAACACGGCCAGCAACACGGCCAGCAACACTGCCAGCAACCCTGCCAGCAACACGGCCAGCAACCCTGGTAGCAACACGGCCAGCAACCCTGGTAGCAACACGGCCAGCAACACGCCAGCAACACGGCCAGCAACACAAGCCGGCCTCGGATGAAAGAAGGTTGTGACGATCTCTGTCAGGAACCCGTAGGTGCCGGACCGGGCCGTCCACCTCCTGGGGCTCGTGCGGCCCCCCAGGCCCTGTGTCAGGAGGCTGGGGTCGTTCTTGTCCCTTGCTGGGGTGGTTCTTCTCCGGCCCCGACCACGGCGGTCTCCGGGTTTGGGGGTCCCTGTGCCTTTTTTTACCAACTTCGAGGTCAACGCCGCAGTTGGAGCCCGTGCGGGCAGTTCGTTGTTGACTTCAACCTCGTCTTGACAGGTCCTACGACGGCGCTGGAACCAATCGTATTGGCATTTGCCTTTCCATTTGGAGACTTTCAGCGCTGTAGAGAGGAGGGATCTGCTGCATGGGTGACAGCTTCTCCCCCCGTATCAACCTACCATGGCTTTGTGCCCTGGTGAGGCCATTCCAGACCGACAACCAGAACGCAACTCCATAGTCTCCTGACACTGATGGATGTCTACTACTATTAGGGAACAGTATGGGTCCTAATACTTATCCTTGAGGTACTCCACTCCTTGTCTGAATGGAGAAATGTCTCTCTCTTCCAATGAGGACTCCTTTTAGTCGAGTTTTGAAAGGTGTTGTATTATCCAACGTAGGATTCTTCCCTATGCATCAGTCTGCTTTTCAAGTTTGCACAGGACTCGCTCGTATGGAAGAGCATCAAAGGCTTTCTGACATCCCAGGAAAATACAGTCTGCTCAACCTCTCTCTTGTTTGATTGTTGACAACTTGTACAACAAAATTCATGTGTTTTAATTATTCAACAAGTTGCTGTTGTCTTTCTCCTTTCTTATATATAGGCACCACAAGAGCCATTTTGAAAATTTCAGGTAGTTCCCCTATTTCTAGAATTGAAAAAAATGTCAAAGTGTCCATACAATGTCGCAGAACATAAAACAGTAGATGCTTTTCACCCATAGAGTTATAAACCCATGGAACTCCCTTTCGCGAAAGCCGTAAGTGCCAAAGTTCATCTGGAAAAATTTCTAAAATAATGAGGGGGTGGGACTCGACAAGCTGCCGGCTTCCTGTCACCGTCGATGGTACTAGTGAGATGATAGCCATCAAGTAAATTTAAATCAATTCAGATCGTATTTGGTTATGAGACTTTTTATTTCATCCAGCTCCCCGCCAAACACACACCGAAACTACGACGTTGGTACAACGTTCGAACAAGTTTTAACACCTCCTAACCAGTTATAACAACCAATATAACAAGTTGTAACAACGTTCTAATACGTCATAAACACGTTAATCCAAGCTGTAACAACTTTATTACAAGTTGTAACAAGCGGAAAATAGAGACAGTTACGGTTTGTGTTTCCAGGCTCCTCTCTTTTCTTATTTTTCCTGGAGCTGCTTTTTATTTCAATCGTTCTTCTGATGACGTCTGTTCCTTTAGAAATCTTAGATCTAGCGGCAGCTCAGGTTCCAAAATAAAGACATCCCATGATCTTTATAGTGTATGGAAGCTTTTATTAACTTCATCACACATTTTCTATTTCAGAGAGGCCTCCATTTGTATGAGCTGGTTCCTTGATAATTTATCATATTACTCCCATTTTATATGTGTGTGTGTGTGTGTGTGTGTGTGTGTGTGTGTGTGTGTGTGTGTGTGTGTGTGTGTGTGTGTGTGTGTGTGTGTGTGTGTGGCTTAAGCTCTGGCTCTTTGGTCCCGCCTCTCAACCGTCAATCTAATGGTGTACAGATTCCTGAGCCTACTGGGCTCTATCATATCTACATTTGAAACTGTGTATAGAGTCAGCCTCCACCACATCACTTTCTAGTGCAACTGTGAAACTGTGTACTCACCTAATTGTGCTTGCGGGGGTTGAGCTTTGGCTCTTTGGTCCCGCCTCTCAACTGTCAATCAACTGGTGTACAGATTCCTGAGCCTACTGGGCTCTATCATATCTACATTTGAAACTGTGTATGGAGTCAGCCTCCACCACATCACTTCCTAGTGCATTCCATTTATTAACTACTCTGACACTGAAAAAATTCTTTCTAACGTCTCTGTGTGTGTGCGTGTATGCGTGCGTGCGTGTGTCAGTGTGAGTGTGGAGGGCGTGTGCACCACACGGAAGCCCCACGCCACATGAAACACTGGTTTTAAGTTTCGTCATGTGAAGAAAGTTAATCCGACTGGTGGTGACGAACACCTGGATGGGCAGGGGGGGTGTAGGGCCTCCCCGTGTCCTGCACCTTGCACGCTCCGATGGCTTCGGCTTAACTCAGTCCTTCCAATCCCCCTCCTCCCCCCTCCCAATCCCTTAACAGTATCGGAACTGTGCTAGGATCATATTGTCCTCAACCTATCCCCATCCATCCCCTTCCCCCCGGACCCCATCACGTGATGTACGCCAGGGTCAGCTGCTCCTGCTTCCGAACATTCGTTGTCTTCTGTCAACCCAAGAATGTCGCGTCTGGTTCCCTGGCTGACTTCGGCTTCCGCCTGCATTTCTGTTCTTCTGATCCAATATGCAGTATACCTGGATTAGCTTTGTTCTGAATATGTCAAAAGAAGACCGCAAGGCTGAGAGAGAATACAAATTTTTCAATAAACCTATTGTTAGGATTAAAGTATTTTGTAGGATTAAGTGCTACATAGGTTAGGTGCCGAATGTTTTGAGCAGATGCTCTTTTGTTTTATAAGTATTTGTAAATAGTCATGTAACCTATACCCGGTGACGTGTTGTTGTTGTACTAAAGGACATGTGGAGCGCACGTTCGTCTCTCTTCCTGTTGAATTATAGCACATATAGACGTGTACTTGTGTCTCAGAGAGGTTCAGAAAGGCTTGACTGGGTTATATAGGCTCAAACGAAATCCTATTTAAGGCGTTCTATGTTCGTCCTCTATAATAGAATGGTTGGGTCAGAGGCCTAGATCTGTTTAAGCTTGGGAGCGGGTGTCGAGGCGCAGCAATCCTCCTACTGGACGGCCATGTTCCTTGCAGGAAGCCTTAGAAGCATACAGTTCTTAAACTTATAGTTCTTTCAACACCCTCCTCGCCTACATTACTACCAAGAGTCCCCTGTGCTGTGGGCCCCCAAGAGTTTTATGTGAGGGGCCCCAAAATACCCGTAATTCGTGATCCTAGATGATACTTGGTGGAGAGAAGCGGAACTGTAGAAGAGGGGCCAAGGGGGATGATGTTGTTTAAGATTCAACTACTGGGAACAAAACGTTCCAAGTAGCACGGGCTATGGTGAGCTCGTAGAGGATTTACCTGACACAGGAGCGGGGCTGTAACTTCCAAGGGGGATGGAAAACAGGATTGAGGGATAGAGCGGGGTGTCGTAGTAGGTTTGGGGAAGGTGGTGGAGTGAGCAGGTGTGGGGGGTTATATAGCTAATAGAAGTTAGACAGTTTTGTGGGGGGGGGGGATTTTGGAGATATGAGGGAGGAGCAGAAACTAGTGAAAGAATTGCATGGGTAAGCAGTGAAACGGTGTATACTGATGCTGTGGTTGGGGCGAGTGGTGTCATTTTGTGAGAATATAAAGCTCACTTGTTAGAGTTTCTTGATTCCTCTTGTCTGTGATTTTGTTACATTGTTCTGATGAAACGGTTTAACTGTAACAATATAACACTTCAATAGTTCCATAGACAGGTTCAGACAGCTGCTACATACATGGCAAACGACCATTCAACCACAGAAGGTGTGTGAAGTGCTGTTACGATGGTAACCAGTATATATATATATATATATATATATATATATATATATATATATATATATATATATATATATATATATATACACACTCGGCTTACATAAACAGAGTTAGAGATGTTATCTCCTACATATAGTGATAGGACTGAAGAGAATTGATTAGGGAAATAGGAATCAGGAGTAAAGCAAAGATTAAATAGCAAAGGCACGGGTTCCACGGGGTCAAGGGTCACGCACGGGGGTCAGGGGTCACGCACGGGGGCTCAAGGGGTCATGCATGAGGCTGACCCATTTGAAAAGACGACAGGAGAATGGCGGCTGTCACTCGTGACACTAAACCAGGCAAGTGTTGTGGAGGCACAACCCAGACACCTCGTGCTGGCACCTGCTGCTGCTGCTGGCACCTCCTGCTGCTGCTGGCACCTCCTGCTGCTGCTGGCACCTGCTGCTCCTGCTGGCACCTCCTGCTGCTGCTGGCACCTGGTGCTGTTGCTGGCACCTGCTGCTGCTGCTGGCACCTGCTGCTGCTGCTGGCACCTGCTGCTACTGCTGGCACCTCCTGCTGCTGCTGGCACCTTCTGCTGCTGCTGGCACCTCCTGCTGCTGCTGGCACCTCCTGCTGCTGCTGGCACCTCCTGCTGCTGCTGGCACCTCCTGCTGCTGCTGGCACCTGCTGCTGCTGCTGGCACCTGCTGCTGCTGCTGGCACCTCCTGCTGCTGCTGGCACCTCCTGCTGCTGCTGGCACCTCCTGCTGCTGCTGGCACCTGGTGCTGCTGCTGGCACCTGGTGCTGCTGCTGGCACCTCCTGCTGCTGCTGGCACCTGGTGCTGCTGCTGGCACCTGGTGCTGCTGCTGGCACCTCCTGCTGCTGCTGGCACCTCCTGCTGCTGCTGGCACCTCCTGCTGCTGCTGGCACCTCCTGCTGCTGCTGGCACCTCCTGCTGCTGCTGGCACCTCCTGCTGCTGCTGGCACCTCCTGCTGCTGCTGGCACCTCCTGCTGCTGCTGGCACCTCCTGCTGCTGCTGGCACCTCCTGCTGCTGCTGGCACCTCCTGCTGCTGCTGGCACCTGGTGCTGCTGCTGGCACCTCCTGCTGCTGCTGGCACCTCCTGCTGCTGCTGGCACCTCCTGCTGCTGCTGGCACCTCCTGCTGCTGCTGGCACCTCCTGCTGCTGCTGGCACCTCCTGCTGCTGCTGGCACCTCCTGCTGCTGCTGGCACCTGGTGCTGCTGCTGGCACCTCCTGCTGCTGCTGCTGGCACCTCCTGCTGCTGCTGGCACCTCCTGCTGCTGCTGGCACCTCCTGCTGCTGCTGGCACCTCCTGCTGCTGCTGGCACCTGCTGCTGCTGCTGGCACCTCCTGCTGCTGCTGGCACCTCCTGCAGACCATGTTCCCTGCAAGGTGAGACTAGCCCAAAGCATCTGGCCTCACCATTCTTGGACAGACAAATGGATAAACAGACAAAAAGATAGTCATTTTCTCTTCAAACCACGAAATTAGTAATAATTACTATCTTGAAGTACTGGGTGGAATACCCGGCGTTGCCCGGGTTCATCCTGGCACCCAGATGTGCATTTGTGTGTGTCTGCGTGTTCTGTCTGTCTGTCTGTCTGTCTGTCTGTCTGTCTGTCTCTCTCTCTCTCTCTCTCTCTCTCTCTCTCTCTCTCTCTCTCTCTCTCTCTCCCCCCGTTCCATTTCCCTCCTTCCCTCCCATTCTCTCTCCTCTCACCAGTTCTTTCTCCTTCCCATTCACTCTCCTTCCCTCCCTTTCATTCTATCTCCTACCTTCCATTTTCTCTCACTCCCTCCCTTTCTCTCTCCCTCTCTGTCTCGTTGTCTCTTCCTCCTGTTCTTCCACCAATCCATTTTCTCTCCCCCTTCCTTTTGATCTCTTTCTGCCTCATTCTCTTACCTTTCCGTGGTGGCTCGGTGTTTTCTCCCGATAATTCCCAAAGGAGCAGCCAAGATTTCAACTACCAGCGTCTTCTCAAGACACGAGGAGCGCTAGTGAGCCTTCCCCTAGTACTGACCTCTCAGATCAGCTCGCAAATGTTGGCCACTATCGTCTCCTGGCTCAATATCCCTTCGTTTTGTTTTTATTGCTTTACACAGAATGGTAAACAGGAGTGTATATGTATGTTGACCAGACCACACACTAGAAATTGAAGGGACGACGACGTTTCGGTCCGTCCTGGACTATTCTCAAGTCGATTGTGAATGGATAGATACTCACAATCGACTTGAGAATGGTCCAGGACGGACCGAAACGTCGTCGTCCCTTCAATTTCTAGTGTGTGGTCTAGTCAACATACTTCAGCCACGTTATTGTGACTCATCGCCTGCCTGTGTATATGTATGCTTCCAGACGCCTGTTAGCAGGCTAAGGAGCTTTACCTTCCCATAGCTCGTGGTAAGACCTTACCTTAGTAAGGTAAGGAAGGTAAGGAAGACTTTACTAATCTTCACTAGAACACGAACTGCGAATGAGATATAACTCCTTCTCCATATATAGTATAGATACTATTTGTGTTCCAGGAAGTCTGAAAATATATACATAGGTTACAAAAGACTACCTAAAGAGGAAGGGAGCAAAAAGAGTCAAGAACAGCCTTAAAAGGCTAATGAGAAGCAGCTCATTAATGCGTAATTAAGACAGTCAGTCAGTCAGCCTCCCCCGACAAGAGCTCAAGCGAAACCTTCTCGCGAGCTAATTGTTGCAGTAAACCTCCCTGTTGACCTCTCAAGGCGACCCCAGGCTTAACAATCGCCAGGGTTTTAATGAGCTTGGCCAGGGGTTTCAAACAGGGGTTCCGCGAGCCTTTCTCGAGGATGTTCCGCGAGAAATATATAACAAAAAGAAATATTACACAAAATATGTAAATAGTTATTGTTTATCAATTGAGGGGTTACTCAGAGTATATAAAAATATATTTTAAGGGTTCTGTAGTGTTAAAGAGGTAGGGGGGACCAGCGAGCAATGTAAAGTGTACAATCCCTTTATTCTACATATGTGTACTCTTCATAATAAGTACAAATGTGACTTAAAACGTCAATAATAAGGTACTGGTGGGCAGTCTCTCTCTCTCTCTCTCTCTCTCTCTCACACACACACACACACACACACACCAGAGACATTAGGAAGAATTTGTTCAGTGTCAGAGTAGTTAGCAAATGGAATGCATTAGGAAGTGATGTTGTGGAGGCTGACTCCTTACACACTTTCAAATGTAGATATGACAGAGCCCAGTAGGCTCAGGAACCTGTACACCAGTTGATTGACAGTTAAGAGGCGGGACAGTTGTGTACTCGCACAACTAGGCGAGTACACACACACACCATCAAAATGCGATTATAATAATCAAAACAATTGGGCAATAAAGTAATATCATAAGTAACCAGTAAGCTAAATTACAATACCGCAGCACCTGATTAAATTACAATACCGCAGCACCTGACTAAATTACAATACCGCAGCACCTGATTAAATTACAATACCGCAGCACCTGATTAAATTACAATACCGCAGCACCTGACTAAATTACAATACCGCAGCACCTGACTAAATTACAATACCGCAGCACCTGACTAAATTACAATACCGCAGCACCTGACTAAATAACAATACCGCAGCACCTGATTAAATTACAATACCGCAGCACCTGACTAAATTACAATACCGCAGCACCTGACTAAATTACAATACCGCAGCACCTGACTAAATTACAATACCGCAGCACCTGACTAAATTACAATACCGCAGCACCTGACTAAATTACAATACCGCAGCACCTGACTAAATTACATTACCGCAGCACCTGATTAAATTACAATACCGCAGCACCTGACGAAATTACAATACCGCAGCACCTGACTAAATTACAATACCGCAGCACCTGACTAAATTACAATACCGCAGCACCTGACTAAATTACATTACCGCAGCACCTGATTAAATTACAATACCGCAGCACCTGACTAAATTACAATACCGCAGCACCTGATTAAATTACAATACCGCAGCACCTGACTAAATTACAATACCGCAGCACCTGACTAAATTACAATACCGCAGCACCTGACTAAATTACAATACCGCAGCACCTGACTAAATTACAATACCGCAGCACCTGACTAAATTACAATACCGCAGCACCTGACTAAATTACAATACCGCAGCACCTGACTAAATTACAATACCGCAGCACCTGACTAAATTACAATACCGCAGCACCTGTCTAAATTACAATACCGCAGCACCTGACTAAATTACAATACCGCAGCACCTGACTAAATTACAATACCGCAGCACCTGACTAAATTACAATACCGCAGCACCTGACTAAATTACAATACCGCAGCACCTGACTAAATTACAATACCGCAGCACCTGACTAAATTACAATACCGCAGCACTTGACTAAATTACAATACCGCAGCACCTGACTAAATTACAATACCGCAGCACCTGACTAAATTACAATACCGCAGCACCTGATTAAATTACAATACCGCAGCACCTGACTAAAATTACGATATTTTTATTACAAATGCAGTAATCTAGGCCTCTGGCCGTGTATTAACAAACATGAATCGGGTTTTTTGGTTGTCCAAAGCGTGACTGACAGGCGAAATTCCACGAACGTTGGTGCCAAATTGTGGCCGTTCGGTACCTCACAGTCGGCCGTTCGGTACCTCACAGTCGGCCGTTCGGGAGCTCACAGTCGGGCGTTCGGTAGCTCACAGTCGGCCGTTCGGGTAGCTCAGTCGGGCGTTCGGTACCTCACAGTCGGCCGTTCGGTACCTCACAGTCGGGCGTTCGGTACCTCACAGTCGGCCGTTCGGGAGCTCACAGTCGGGCGTTCGGTAGCGCACAGTCGGCCGTTCGGGTAGCTCAGTCGGGCGTTCGGTAGCTCACAGTCGGCCGTTCGGGTAGCTCAGTCGGGCGTTCGGTAGCTCACAGTCGGCCGTTCGGGAGCTCACAGTCGGGCGTTCGGTAGCTCACAGTCGGGCGTTCGGGTAGCTCACAGTCGGGCGTTCGGTAGCTCACAGTCGGGCGTTCGGGTAGCTCACAGTCGGGCGTTCGGTAGCTCACAGTCGGCCGTTCGGGTAGCTCAGTCGGGCGTTCGGTAGCTCACAGTCGGGCGTTCGGGTAGCTCACAGTCGGGCGTTCGGGTAGCTCAGTCGGGCGTTCGGTAGCTCACAGTCGGGCGTTCGGGTAGCTCAGTCGGGCGTTCGGTAGCTCACAGTCGGGCGTTCGGGTAGCTCACAGTCGGGCGTTCGGTAGCTCACAGTCGGGCGTTCGGTAGCTCACAGTCGGGCGTTCGGGTAGCTCACAGTCGGG